TCTTATTTTCAATAAATAATTCAGTTATTCACTTATTAAATGCATGTTTCATTGACAAATGTGTCATTTTTGAAAAATTATTCAGTGGCATATTTTTGATATGCTAGTTTTTGGTCAAGTAAAGTTGCCTACAACCTTCATTTTTGAGCGTCAAGTTAAATGCATAAGAAGGTGATTTTAATCTTTACCATAAACTAAATTATAAACTGTTCTCCCAGTACTTCTGTATTATTTAAAGCCTTAATCTCTTTTTCGCTCTTTGCATGTTTCAAATGCAGATTTGAAAGCAGCGATTGGACGGACTAATAAACACATGCAAACCAACACCGATTATAAATTATGCTGCATGGTTGTTGAGATCTCAATGTTTTAATGATTACTCATGCAGCTTACACATGCAGGCTAAACAAATAATGACAGAAAACACCTTTAATAACCTAAGAAACCCACCGCATCCCGAATAACCTACCACTACTTCTTCAGTCATCATATTTTACAGCAAAGCATTAACAGTCACTCCAACTTGATTAGACAACAAACAAGACATGAATGTAAAAAAAATAAAAATAATAATCACACAATTTCAAATTAAATAATTACATCAAACCAGTTTTCTATAAAATCACCGAGCTTAACAAGAAATCTACAAAACTACCGAGAAACTGTCATCTGTTTACATTTGGCAGCCCACATTGTGTTGGAAAAAGTGTTAGTGAACCAGAGTAGGTTTATAAGTCATAACACATTCATGACCTTTATAACCTGTGTAATCAGTAACCACTGGGTTATTCATCAAGACAGGCAAAGCTAACCTCACTAACATAATCCCAGCAGCTAAATGCAAGTTTTAAGTCCTGATCTGTCATCCTGAGAGTTTAGATCCAACTCTGGTATAAAACCAGAAAACCAAAGTCCTGATGTTCTCAAGAAACGAAAAAAAAGATAATACATTAAAATTCTCCATGAAAGCAGATCTCCAGGATCAAATCTGACCATCTCTGACTTAAACCTATTACCCAAGTAGCTGACTACACACAATATGCTATAATTATTACTAAAGCAGTCACTACCACCACAGTTCCTCCATCCACACAAAGACACGTGCTATTGTGTCACTATAGGGTCTACGTTAACAAGAAGATTAATAATCGGGATTGCACTATACTGCCATCTTTAAACTGCTTTGACATGTGAAGCTAACAGGAGAGCTAAGCAGCTAACGTTAGTTAGCTTACGTGCTAACACTGATCAACTCATACAGTCATTAGCATATAACACACTTAACAATAACATTTATAAGCAGTCATCTACATTATAGGCTATTTCTCAGAGCATACTTAGTTGTATATCTAGGCAGCATGTTATAACGTATAAGGACATTAAATGTGCGTTCAAACTAGTTGATGGCTAAAATGCTGTCAAGGCGAGCAGTAGTTTACTAGTCTTCAAAATACAGCCTGTAAGGGATATATATATATATATGGAGGTAAATTAAGCTTTGTTGTGTTTTCAAAATAATAGACCTGTCGGTTAAAATAAGCCACACAATCGGAAAGACCCTCCGTGACTCAGGCAGCCTTTCTCCCCCACTGCATGTTGAATTAAAGGGGTCGTTGATTCAGACCGGCAATCTTGTTTTCTTCTTTAAAACAGAAGCGAAGCACGTATTTACTCTCGTGGACGCGTAGACTGTACTGAAACTGTTCGTTGACACGTTTAACCGACGGCTACATCCTGTCATTTCGGTTATTCTTACCTCTCCGTTGCTTACGGAGGACTGCTGTGTTGCTTGAGTCTCCTGCGCCGCCATCTTACCTGTCTCTATCGCACACTGTAATGTGCTGGTATGTAATCTGATGTATCGCGAGATTTTTTTTGGTCTGGAAGCTACGAAGTACGAATTTCCGCGAGTCGGTTCTTTTGATCAGTTCGCTTGTAATGAATCAATCCAAATATAAATACGTCATGAATGAGATACTTTTCAACAACAACAATAATATCACTTATAACGTTAGTCAGTAAACCCTACATAATCTCGCATTGGCCTGGGTTCATCAGAGGTTTAAACTGTAAAAAGATTTGTTCATAATTTTTTTATTGCAAACTAATTTAAAGAGATCTCATTTAAAATTTTGCATATATTTTATCCTGTCAAACATTTTCTTTCCAAGTTTAGACAGTCATAGGATCAAAACTGTTAATTTGGTTTGTTACAGCTAGAAACTGTGCTGTGTATTTTTTTTAATTGTCAATTTACATAGAAAATATTATACGAGATCTCCAAAGTCATAACTTTTTTTTGTTTTGTTTAGAATTCCAACATGTTATTTGGGGATTTTTGAACTGTAACAATAAATAGAAAAGGAAGCTTACGTTATTATGATAATATGATAATATTTACATATTCAGATGCAAATTTAATAACCAAAACCATTTTACCCTGCTATACTAAAATAATTAGAACATTAGAAGTTTTTCTTTCTTTCTTTTTTGTATTTGTATGGCTCTGTACTTTGTTCTTTAAGCATTATTATTAAAAACAACAATATTATTAATAATAATAATAAGTAATAATAATAAAAATCAGCATCGTTTTATTGCTGTTTATTCATTGTCGATGAGGCTATTTGTTGTAATTTCATGTCTCAATTAGTTGATTTGATGATTCAGTTTGTGATCTTTTTTAATAAAATTTTAATTGGTTTTTATTTATTTATTTTAGTTTAGATTATTTCCCCTCAAATGTTTTTGCTATTTTTGTATGTTTATTTTAGTTTTTAAGTAGCCTATATTTAATATGTTATTACAGAACTTCCCTTTGGTATGTGATTTGATTTACCTTTTTTGTTGAACACAAAAGAAAAATAATATCGATAGCAGCAAAAACATTATTAAAAAACACAAAGTCAGTGGCTACCAGATTGCAGCATTCTTCAAAATATATTCTTTTGTGTTTAACATTATGCAAAGAAACTCAAGCAATTTAATTTATATTTTGAGAATTTCTACTCTATACTTGTTTCTCTTTATCATTTATTACATCTTTTAATTGTATTTATGTAATTATATAATTTTGTTTTGTTGTTGTTATGGTTATTATTATTATTATTATTATTATTATTATTATTATTATTATTATTATTATTATTATTATTATTAATGTGAATGTAAACATTGTGAATGTAAATTTATTGTTATCTGAGTGTTATGTAATTTTAAAAGTATATGCCTTTCTGTAATTGTTCAACCATTGTTAATAAAAAAAAATCCTTTGTGTAGACTGTCAGAAAAACTTCTTTAAAATATGTAAATTTACATCCCTTTATTTTTTTAACAGCAAAATAATTATTCAAAATGATACCATTTATCTTGAAACACCAAACACTTATAACCAAATGTGGGCACACCTGCATGCAATACTTTCTCAGCCCATCATTAAAATAACAAGCTTAAATGTCAACATGTATAGGCCAACATAATTAAAGAAACTGTACTTCAAAACTAACATGTTAAATTCAGCAGAAGTTGCACAACCCGAAAAGTTGTATATTCAGAATTAGGAACATATCAGTTTTTAATCATGTAATGAAGGATTATATTTCTTATTAAAGAAGTCAGAAAGTAATTATAGTCATAGTAATCTTACACTTTGTACACTGTAACAAGCAATTAGTTGACTTTATTTTAACAAGTGAGTAAAATTAGTAATTATTAAAGTAAAGTCAACCTAACAGTTCAGTTACAACGAGTTTACTAATATTTAAATTAAAGTCAAGTTGTTGTTTTTAAAGCAATAAGTTTTAAGAAACTAAGTTTTTACACTGTCAATATAATCAGCCAATGTAATTTTCTGTTTTTATTATTATATGATTGCACTGTAAAACGTGTTTAATTTAATGGAAAAGTGAGTAAAGCAGATGCCTTTGAAATGATTACGTAAATGAACTGTTTTCACAATTATAAAAAAAAATTAAGCCAACTTAACAGTTCCAAAATACAATGGGTTTACTCACTTTAAAGTCAAGTTGTCGCTTTTAAGGCAACAGGTTTGCTCACTGTAAGTAAATCTCTTTTTTCAGTATGTGTTCAAAGAAGAGTTTAGTTTACAATGTTAGTTTAAGACAGCATATAAAAAAATAGTAATATTATTACTATTAATGATGAGTAGGCTCCCAGCAAACAATTTTGTGTTTAATAGATGTCTAATATACATCTAAACGTACAGTTTGGTTAAAACAGGGCTAAACTTGGGCTGTCAGTGAAAATCTAATAGAAGTCGTCAAATAGACAGATTAGACAGACTTTCTATGTGTAGTCATTCATTTCTGTTTATTTTTATGATTAGTTTTGGCCTTTTCTATTAGGTTTTCACTGACAGACCAAATTTAGCCTTGCTTTAGCCAAGACGACTTTGTTTGGATGTCTATTAGACATATATTATACATCTTTTCAAAACAAAAAATGCTTGGGCTGCATCCTGATCAAATCTAATATGGGTCAAAATATACCTATAATCGAGTACTCTAAAGTGAATTTTTAAAAAGTGCATTCTGAAAGTGGGCTACTTCTCAGTTTAAAACTACCTTTTTCTTTTCAAAAAAGCTGTCACAGATTATAAAGGCACAAAATCAAATCAGTTAGCTAACCTCAAAACTGTCAGATTAAAACATTTTGATATGAAGAGTTGAAAACCTCTAAATGCTGTCTGAAATTTTCACCTAAAATGAGGATTTTTTTCAGCCTCTTATTTATGTTTAGTTATTCACTTTAAATGCATCGAAAAGAACTTATTCGTCACTATTAAAGTAAAATTACTTTGCCTAGGAGTCTGAGAAAAATGCTCATTTTAAAAGAAAATATATACATTTTTTCATCTGAACACTTCATAGATTTTAAAAAGACAAAAAGCTAATTACCAGCATAACAATTATTTTCCTCTCTCGCTGTGTGTGTGTTATAGGGGAAATGAGGTGAAGTTCAAATTAGTTTCAGCAATTACCTATAATGCTAGCTAAGTTTCGTTTTTGGGAAATGAAGAGACCGTGAAGCTATATAACCCGCTTCTGAGCTGTTTGCAGTCACACTCATGCAGCAACAGGAGCCGGCACAAATGCAAGATGGACAGAGTGAACAGGTAAGAAACGTCTTTATATCAGCAAATCAATAGAATGTTAGGAGATTTTAGGCATTCTGTGAAAAGTCTGTCTTTCTTAACATATTTACTTTATACTTCTCCTATACAACATATGCATGAACATTAAAAACGCGTGAGAGTAATGTAAATGTAGGCCTATCTTTAAAAAACAACTATTTTATAAATATTGCTTGATATCAAATGGATTTAAGTGTTGGTAATGTATGACACAACTGCTGGAGTCGGATTGAGTTTAGGTTTCGTTTCAGCAGAGAGTGTGTGCGTAAGCAGATGCCGCAGATGATTCGGGAATATGAAACTGAGAGGAGCCAGCCAGCTTCTTACGTACAAACACGTAGATAGATGAAGATGAAGATGAAGCCGAAGGCAGGATGCAGACCAATGCAGATTGTAGCTTACTTGCTAATTATCCATCAAATAAACATCGGTTCTAAACAGTGTCTGAATAACACATTAACGATCAGGGGGGTCACTTTTTCGGTGAAGTTTGGCAACACATATGCTTCAGTAAATCAAATTTTATAATTTATTTCAATTACATCTTATTTATTAGTAAAATGTATACATTTTCATTGTTGTGAGGCATATATAATAACTGTTTAGAGGATACTGTAGGTCAAACTATACCAATGTGTCTATTTTTTTAGACTATGCAGATATAAAAACCTATTTTACATGATACGTGACTTGTGAAGTTGCCTATCGGTGCTTTAGAACTACCAGTTTCACAGAGATTTTTCCTACACTGTAAAACCCAAAAAGTTAAGGTAACTCAAACCATTTGAGGAAACCGAATTCAACAAACCATTTAAGTTCAAAAACTAATCCTAATGAGTACTGTGAACTTATCACAAATGTAATTGATTAATATTTATGATACAGATAAGAGATCAGAGAAAGCTATTTCTTACTATTAAAGGGCTGACGCATCTTGTTTTGATGTCCTTCAGGGGTGATCAAGTGTTTATTATGGGGGTCAATCCCCCACAAACCCCCCTGTAATTCACACCTTGGTTTTAAGCAGAAATATAAAATAATAACAATGCAAGCCTAAGCAAAATGGTGACAATGAAATATATATAGCCTAAAAAAACCTAAATATAGAAATCTGCATCAGCCAAATGAAGCTGATGTGAAAATAGGCTCAGTTCCTTTATATGTCCAAAGCAACTTACAGTACGAATAAGAACAATATAAGTAGCCTGACCAATGCATTAATCATATAAGAAAATCCCCAGATTGTCATTAGGTCACATTTGTATGAATATAAAGAGAAACAAAACCAAATAGAGAATAAATAAAAGTGTTGGTGTTAGATAAAAAAATAAATAAATAAAGGTTTAAATGTAAAAAGTAAGATAGAGAAAATAATACGGAAGTGATGAAAAAATAATAATTTTATACAGTATTATTAAGGGCAAACTAGCAGTTAACGTGTTAATAATATAACTGATCAATTTAAAATTAAGAACAAGATATTATTAAATTAAATGTAAGAAGGAGCCAGCACAAATGCAAGATGGACAGCGTGAATGGGTAAGAAAGGTCTTTATGATAAGTGCTATATAAATGTAAGGAATTATTATTATTATTTATAGCAAAACAATAGAACATATATAGGCATTCTAAGAAAACTCACTCTTTCTTAAAATGTTTACCCTATTCTCCTCCAATGTATAAAAATGATAAATGAGTGAGAGTAATGTAAATGTAGCTTTAAAAAACAACTAATTTATACATATTGCTCATTCAAATTAAAAATGTAACATAAGTAGAAAATTGTACAGGAGTGACGAAAAAATATTTATCTTTTACACAATTGAGGACAAACTAGCAGTTAAAGTGTTAATAATACAGCTGACTCAGATTAAACAATATATTATTGAATTAAATGTACGAAGTCCTGCAGCCAAAAAACAATTGTAAAAGTGTTTTGGGGCGATTAACTTTCTGAGAAGTTAGTCATTCACCGGTTTTCAAATAAACGCCTACCTCATATTAATCACTACTGCTCTATTATCTTTTAATGAACTTAATATTTGTTGCATTGCTATAATTGTTTTAAATGTCATGTGTCATGAAGACAGCTGTTTCAATAACTATAGATTTTTAGTATAAAAATATATTTCACATTGAGTCAAGAATAGTCTCTGATCACGCTTTAATGAAATGGTACAAGACAGACATATCAACAGAATGCAAGATATAAATTGTATTTTTAAAATTTTCCCTTTATCTTATATCAGGCATTCAACAATTACACACAAAGATTCGTCCTTGTGTACGTTTTGTGAGCTGTTGCCAAAATCATCTGCTGTAAATATTTGCAAACACATTTTTAGGCTTAGTTATATATATATGTGCTTATAGAAAAAGCACAGGTACTAGATGATAAATATTTTAGCGTGCATGTCTTGAGTGTATGTGTTCATGCACACTATCGAATGGATTCTAATAAAGGTGTGTTCAGGTGCATATAACACACGCACGTACAGTGGCGTAGCGCAGGGGTTCTCAAACTTTTGCGCTCGCGACCCCCAAAATAACAATGCCAGTGGCTCGCGACCCCCAATATCCTCTGAGGTGGTTATAAATACAAAAACTTTGCATGCAATGGTGCACACACACCAATAGACCAAAGTCTATTCTTCGTAGATTTTTTTATGTATGTTAGTGCTGTAAATGGCCCAGAAAGCATAGCTTCAGATGCAGCTATGCTGTGTCTTTAATATAATGTAATTACCCCAGCGATCGCAATTGAATAGAACTAGTAACTATTAGCTACTATAGTAACTTTATAAAGTAGTATATAGTAACTACAGTATAAATTACTATTTTTTTCTAGGTTATGGATAAAATATGGTAATTCTTATGGTTTAATAAAAATAAATAGATTTTTGGAAATCACCAGGCGACCCCCTTTCATTGTCCCACGACCCCTCGGGGGGTCCCGACCCCCACTTTGAGAACCACTGGCGTAGCGGACGGGCATGCACCATGTGTCATGGGGACCCCCCCAAAAATTTAGGTTGTTAATTTTTGTAATTTTCTTAAAAAAAAGCTGGTGTCAATTGATCATTAACAGAATAAATATTTTGTTCAGTTTGATTTAATAATCAATAAAAAATACTAACAATCCATTACATCTCATACACCAAACATGTTTCACTTTAATAATTCATACATTAACAATATACTCAAGACATAATGCATAGTGCTGTTGCCTCACAGCAAGAAGGTCGCTGGTTCGATCCTTGGCTCAGTTGGCGTTTCTGTGTGAAGTTTGCATGTTCTCCCTGCGTTTGCGTGGGTTTCTTCGGGTGCTCTGATTTTCCCTACAGTCTAAAGACATGTGGTATAGGTGAATTGGTAATTGGGTGGGCTAAATTGTCCGTAGTGTATGAGTGTGTGTGGGAATGAGTGTTTGTGGATGTTCCCCAGAGATGGGTTGTGGCTGGAAGGGCATCCGCTGCGTAAAAAACATTCTGGATAAGTTGGCGTTCATTCTGCTGTGGCGACCCCAGATTTATAAGGGGACTAAGCCGACAAGAAAATAAATGAAAGAATTTTTATTTTATAAAAATTACAAAACACAAAAGAGTTCTGATTATTTCTACCTTGAACAACGCGGCCAAAATCACTGCATGCATTTTAGTGTCCTATACTTTCCTTGTGCATTTGAATATGCGAGCCGGTCACCCAAAAACTTCCTGCTAATAAGCATAACTTTATGATAGAAAAACTTTACTTCAGATATCTCTTTCAAAACAACATATTAAGTTTCGTGAATAAAACCTCGCTCTCCTGACTGTGAAGTGAAAGTAAGGTGTGCATGTGGTCAAGTATCTCATGCACATTTACTGGCTGTATTACCAAAAAGATCACACTTTTAGGGTAATGCCTTCAGAAAATAAGATGACAGACATTCAATGCTTAATTCTAATATCCGAATTGAAGCTTTGGATATAAATATGATGTGACAGTATGACGTTTTATATGAGAAGGGGTTCAATGATGTTATAATTCTGGTAGTTCCAGTGTTAACAAAACCCCAAAAAGAGTGTGACAGACTATGCATCAAAGCACACGTATTTGCTCTCTTGCAAGTTTTTTCATTTGTTTTTCCAATCAGTTAACTCCCCATTTATCACAAGAGCGCGGTAACTGTGTTTATAATTTCAGATTTCTGTTGAACAGTTTTGTCTTTTTAGAATGAATTTCGTTTGGTGTCATTTTTATCTTAATTTGAATATTCTGTACATTTTAGGTGAAATGAATTGCGTTCAAAGCTGCTTCTGTTTACCGGCCAAAACAAACAGGCAAAACACAAACTGTTAGCCTAAATAAACAAAATATTTATGAGTAATGTCTTATTATTAACTGTATAACCAAAACAGTAGCTTGGGCTACTTTAAAATATTTAGCTGTTAATGACAAAATGATCCATTATGCCAGTGCAGTTTCATTTTGACTCATTTATTCAAGCCGTTTTACCACAATGAGTCGGGCTTTCCAAACGTAATATTTTTAGCTCTGAAATCGCACGTCAGATGAGCATTTCACATTGTTAAATTTGTTCAGAAAAATGCTTGAAGAAAGGGATGCCATGGACATTTTTTATGGGAAAATGCTTATTGCTAAAATGCTTAGTGGATAGTGGAAGTTTACAAACACTATAAAAAGGCAGATAACCATTTAAGAAAACTCAGATGTTAATGTGACTAAACTTTTTCTTTTTTAGGTAAGTTGGGATTATCATATTTGTTTCTTTTATGCTTAATAGCAGAATAATGAGAGAGATATTTTTTGAGAAATTGTTATAACTTTTCTTAAAAGTCAAGTTTACATGCATTAAGATTATTATGTCTCTGAAAAAGCTCAGATGATGGTGTCAAGCTTTCTGATTGGCTAATTGACAACATTTGAGTTAATTGGAGGCATAATATATACCATACACACACACACACACACACACACACATATATATATATATATATATATATATATATATATATATATATATATATATATATATATATGTGTGTGTGTGTGTGTGTGTGTGTGTGTGTGTGTGTGTGTGTGTGTGTGTGTGTGTGTGTGTGTGTGTGTGTGTGTGTGTGTGTGTGTGGTGAGGGGCCCCGGCTTTACTCTTGTGGGTGGACACACACAGATCCACACAGAAAGTAGGCTACTTTGGGCTTAGCTCTCTGTAATTTAGTATGATTATTATTTCTTCTCAGGTATTCAGCTTTTCTGATGCTACGGCTCCTCATTTGTGTCGGTAAGTAGTCAATGACAAAAGTAGGACAACTTTTCTTTTCATTTAGTTTCGTTTTGTTTCTTAATTTCTGTGATCATCCTGTAATCGGTTTTTGACATGTTTTTTGATGCCAATGTTAAATGTCAATTTGATGTCGTTTGGCATTGTAGGGATACAAAATCCTACGGTGGCAGAGAGATCTCAACGCGCTGCAATTTAAGAAAACACATGCAATTACAAAAAACACCAGCAAATTAAGAAAAGATCTTCATCAGATTGACAGCAGACATGCTGCAAATTCTCACAACACACACAGAACACAACGGAAATGCTTTAAGGGGACACAAAAACGTGACAGACTCGCCTGGGATAGTGCTCAGTGAAGTTGTAGGTGATCTTTGAAAGGTGATTTTTTTCTTTATTTTAACATCCTAATCTTTTTTATATTATTAGCCTAAATAACCATGACCTAAATAGTTGGTCTGTCATAGTTTTGGGTCCCCTTGAAACATTTCCATTGTGTTCTATTTGCGTGTGTTGTGAGAAAATGCAGCGCATTTTCTTGATGTGTTTGCCTTGTGAGGATTTGCAATATCTTTGCTGTCAAACCGATGAAGATCTTTGGTCTCAATTTGCTGGTGTTTTTGTTCTTGCATGTGTTTTCCTAAATTGCAGCACGTTAAGCTGTCTTGGCCACCATAAAATACTGTGTAAATTCGGAATTAAGGCTTTCAGGTGTAAAAAATATTTAATTCATTTTCTTTTCGGCCTAGTCCCTTTATTAATCTGGGGTCACCACAGCAAAATGAACCAGCATATGTTTTAAGCAGCAGATGCCCTTCCAGCTGCAATCCATCACTGGGAAACATCCATACACATTCACACACATACGCATACACTACGGACAATAGCTTACCCAATTCACCTGTACAGCATGTCTTTGGACTGTTCAGGAAACTGGAGCACCTGGAGGGAAGACTAAGAGAGGCTGCCGTGGAGGAGCGAAGGTGCGAGGGAAAAGAACGAGGAATGGGAAATTGTCTGATGAGCAGCCGAGAAGACGGTATAAACCTAACCTGCCGTCTGTTGTTATGGGCAACGTGAGGTCACTGGAAAATAAGATGGACGAGCTTACGGCACGGGTCAGATGCAACAGAGAATTTCGTGAGTGTAGTTTGATGTGTTTTACTGAGACATGGCTGCATGAGTGTATTTCTGACTCAGTCGTGGACGTGGCTGGCTTTTCGAGTGTCCGGGCGGATAGAACTCGGCGTGAGAGTGGAAAGAGCAAGGGGGGTGGACTTGCTGTTTTTGTTAATGAAAGATGGTGCCACCCGAATCACATTGTGATTAAGGAACGTATCTGTAGCCCGGACATTGAACATATAAGAAAAAGCTGGAACAAGAGCTGAAACAGAACAACAGTAGGTATGTGTGGAGAGGCATGAAGAACATTACTGGCTTCAAGACCAGCAGCCCTAGAACTGATGGTGATGTGGATAGGGCCAATCAGTTTAATATGTTTTTCAATAGGTTTGACAGTAGGCCTCTCTCCAGCTCTGACACAGCCCTTACTGCACCTAGTGCATCTGCTCCCCCCAATAGTGTCACGTCAAATTGCAGCATGTTGCCCTACTTCACGCCCTCTCCTTTCTCCTCTTTCACCATCGTACCAACTGAAGCCTCCATCGCCTCTCCTCCTTTCATTGGTGTCTCAGACTCTTATAAACCACCTATGATCATCACTGAGGACCAAGTGAGGAGAGAATTATGCAGACTCCATCCTGCTAAGGCACCGGGTCCAGACGGATTAACCACACAAGTACTTAAGCTGTGTGCTTCTCAGTTAAGTGGAGTACTGCTGAGGATCTTTAATTTGAGCCTCAGTATTAAGAAAGTTCCTGTGATGTGGAAAACATCATGTCTGGTTCCGGTACCCAAGAAGGCGCGACCTAGTGTTCCATCAGACTACAGGCCAGTAGCACTTACTTCACACAGTATGAAGGTCTTTGAGAGGCTGGTCCTGGGCACTCTCCGCCCCCTAGTGAGGTCAGCGCAAGATTCTCTTCAGTTCGCTTACCAGGCCAAGATTGGAGTGGAAGACGCCATCATTTACCTGTTACATCGTGCCTACAGCCATCTTGACAAACCGAGTGCATCCCTGAGGATTACATTTTTCGATTTTACCAGTGCCTTTAACACTATTCAGCCAGCCCGGCTAGGGAGCAAACTGTCTGCTATGCAGGTACATGCTCCCTTAGTTGCGTGGATTATGGACTATCTGACTGATAGGCCACAGTACGTACGTCTACAGGGGAATAAGTCCGATACGGTACTGTGTAGCACTGGAGCACCGCAGGGAACTGTTTTGTCACCGTTTCTCTTCACACTGTATACATCTGACTTCCAATATAACACAGAGGGCTGTCACCTGCAAAAATTTTTAGATGATTCAGCAATAGTCGGATGTATTAAGGGGGGGGACGACTTGGAATACAGGATGGCTGTGGACAGTTTTGTGGACTGGTGTGAGCTGAATCAGTTGCAGCTTAATATCCAAAAGACCAAAGAACTGGTGGTGGACTTGCGAAGATCACGGCGATCTCCAGTTACTCCCTTGTCTATTAGAGGGGTGGATGTGGAGATTGTTCAGGACTATAAATATTTGGGTGTGTATATTGACAATAAGCTGGACTGGTCCAAGAACTCTCTGGTCACATATAAGAAGGGTCAAAGTAGGCTGTATTTCCTACGTAAACTCCGATCTTTTAGAGTCTGCAACACCATGTTGCGTATGTTCTATGAGTCTGTAGTGGCCAGTGCCATTTTCTATGCTGTGGTGTGCTGGGGTGGTAGTGTAAAAGTGGCAGATATGAAGAGATTTAACAAATTGATTAGGAAAGCTGGCGCTGTGGTGGGTGAGGAATTGGACAATATGGAAACTGTGGCCGAAAAGAGAACATTGTGCAGACTTCGGTCAATTATGCACAATGTAGATCATCCTCTTTATAATGTGGTTGACGAGCTGAGAAGTACCTTTAGTCATAGACTTACCAGCTTAAAGTGTTCCACTGAACGCCACAGAAAATCCTTCCTTCCCACTGCTATCAGACTTCATAACGTCTCCCTCAGTCACTTACCCTTACAGTAATCTATGCAATACCTTGCTGCTCGTGCCATATATTAATTAATTATTACGCGTTTTAGTGTGTGGAAGTCTGTGCATTATGTTCTATGATGTGCAATAGTCTATTAGGTGCAATATTTGTACGTTTTTTTTACTGGGTCTTAAATATTTTTAGTGCAATATCTTTGTTTTTTAAATGAGTGCTGAATGACTTTACTACTTGAATTATTGTATGTGTAATTGTTTTATGTGTAATATTATTAGTTTTGGTTAATATTATTTTCATTACTTGATATATGACTTATTAGTATTAGTTACCACTGATTCTTTTAAGTGGAATATCTTATATAATAGTTTGTATACTTATGTATTGTGGCTGTTTCCTTTTATAGATTGGTTGGATTTATGTGACTTATTTCACTTACTTAATTTATTTATTTTGTCTTGTGGTTTTGTGTTTCTGTGTTTTGTGTGTTATGGCAGTCATTACATAAGCAATTTCCTGCGGGATAAATAAAGTTTTCTAAGTCTAAGTCTAAGTCTAAGTCTAAACCCAAGCGAACACGGGGGAACACGCAAACTCCACACAGAAATGCCAACTGACCTAGCCAAGGCTCGAACCAGCACCCTTTTTGCTATGAGGTGACAGTGCTACCCACTGTGCTACCTTGACATCCTAAAAATACTTGTATTATAATATTATTTTGTGTCGTTATTTTGGTGGTCAAAAAGGTATCGATGTGTGGATGTCAAATAGACATCAAGATTGTGACATCATTCATTATTTTTTAATTATGTTTTGCAGTACAAATAATGCAACGATTTGACCTTTTTCTTTTTTTTAGACAACAAACTAACAAAAGCCATTGCACACATTTAAAATAAAATACAAATAAATAATAATATTTAAAAGATCTTCTTTATGTGATCTAAAACAGGTTGCCAAGTAAGAAAAAAGATATCACTGAAACCTCTTACAATATATTAAATTGATTAGCACTGATATCAAGGTGGGGTGACACGGTGGCTCTGTGGTTAGCACTGTTGCCTCACAGCAAAAAGGTTGCTGGTTTGAGTCTCAGCTGGGTCAGTTGCAAAAATTGATTTAGTTTTAGTTTTCTCAATCATTTTAATTATAGCCTAGTTTTAGTCGACTAAATTTCATAAGATTTCAGTTGACTAAATCTACTCTACTCTTATGATGATGTAATCGCATCCCGCATCTACTGCATGCCTCATGCATCACACACCAAGATTAATTCTGATTGCATATTTTCCAAAAAAACGTCCCCAATCACATTCTTGCCTCATTTTTATTGGTCTACGAAAATGCCATTATATTTTTATTATAGTTGTAGTCATCATCACTTGATTTTTATTTAGTTTTCGTCTGTAGAAACTTGTTTGTCATGAAAACTATGACGAAAATTTGTCATCAACGAAATTAACACTGGCCAGGAGGCATTTTTCTGTGGAGTTTGTATGTTCTCTCCATGAGCTATAGGTGAATTGAATAAACTAAATTGTCCGTAGTGTATGAGTGTGAATGAGTGTGTATAGATGTTTCCCAGTACTGGGTTGCAGCTGGAAGGGCATCCGCTGTGTAAAACATATGCTGGATAGGTTAGCAGTTCATTCCGCTGTGGAAACCCCTGATAAATAAAGGGACTAAGATAAAGGAATATGAATGAATGAATGACATGAATGTGTCTGGCTGCTGTGTTTGTAGTTGAAATAATTGTATTTTGTCCCTCTAGGCTCCTCTCCGCTCTCAGTGCTGTCCTATACCTCCTCGAAGGTGGGCCTGCCAGCGGTTCTGCCCTGCACAGTGGAGTCACATCTGGAGTCTGAACGGGCTCCTCATATTCAGTGGCAGACCGTGAGCGACTCTGTGTTTGAGCGAATGGGACAGGAGCAGTTCCAGGGGGAGGCTTACATAAACCGAGCGGACGTCCCAGAACATATGCTCGTCAAGGGAAACTGCTCTCTCTTCTTGCAAGATGTCAGATTCAGCGATGCGGGCGTTTACGAGAGTTACCTGGTGGTTGGGGAACCAAGTAAGCCTGTCAAGAGCCGGATTTTCCTTCAGAGCGTCCAACTTGTGGTTGTCGGTGAGGGCAAATTCTGAAAAACTACTCAAAGTCTATCAATGTTTGGAAAATAAAACAAACAAACGTCAAAACTGTACTTAGGGGGTACAAAATTCATTCATTCAATCATTCATTTTCCTTCAGCTTAGTTGGTCACCACAGCAGAATGAACTAACAACTATTCCAGCATATGTTTTACGAAGCGGATGGGATACAAAATAATTCTCAGTTTTTATTACAAATTTAAAGGGACAGTTCACCCAAAAATAAACCATTTATTCTCCCTCATGTTGCTTTAAACTTATGTAAGTTTCTTGAAGAATGCTGTATGCTGAAGGAAAATAAAATACTATTGAACTCAATGGGTCCCAGCAACCATCATTCTTCGAAATATCTTATTTTAAACAAAAGAAAAGAAAGTCAAATACCTTTTGAAAAAGATAAGGGTAAATAAATGATGATAGAATCAAAATTTTGGGGTGGACTGTGTTGTTAAGTTTAGCAAAATTACTTTAGTTTAAGTTTTTAGTTTTCATTATTTGATTGAATTAGTTTTGTTTTACCTAATTTTTTTAAAAATCTATTTTTTTTACCTTATTAAAAGTATTCTTTTGTTGTTTTTTGGAATATCTTTTAGTTTTTGTTTAAATGTGTATGTGTACACCAGGGGTGTCCAATCTCAGTCCTGGAAGGCCGGCGTACTGCATAGCTTAGCTCTAACTTCCTTCAACACACTTGCCTGGAAGTTTTAGTATACCTAAAAAGAACTTGATCAGCTGGTTCAGGTGTGTTTAGTTGGGATTGGAACAAAAATATGCAGTTCACCAGCCCTCCAGGACCGAGTTTGGACACCCCTGATGTAGACTAATATAGTATTTATTCATTTTTTAAATCAAGTTAAGTGAAAAGGTGAAATGGCTCAGGTTAGTTAGCCCACAGCTGCTAATCATTCTTTTGAACACAAAACTGTTGAAGCTGATAGCTGAAAACCGGTAACCATTGACTAATGTAGTAGGAAAAACAAACACTATAGAAGTCAATGGCTACAGGTTTCCAGCTTTCTTCAAAATATCAGAAGACAGAAAGTTTTGAACAAATGAAGGATGAGTAAATGATGACTGAATTTTCAGTTTTGAGAGAGCCATCCCTTTAACATCTAAAGACCTACAGTCTTTCTCTTCTCCAATGATAGATCACAAGGCCATCAGGTCTGTTCAGTTGGGCTCAGATCTGATCCTGGATTTACACACACATCAAGCCGAGCAGGTGATTTTCCAGAGCAGTGATGACACAGACTGGACAGTCCTGTGGGAGAGAGAGGGAGGCGTGAAGAAGAACGGTCATCTGAAAGAGAAAGACAACAAACTGATCCTCAGAAGGCTTTCGGCCAGCAGCGCCGGAACATACAAAGTTTTAGATTCACAGGGTTTGGCGCTCAGCACAGTCAAAGTCACAATAACAGGTAGGAAACTTTATTATTATATACATATATAATTATTTCATATGTGCTGTAGAAATATAAAGTTGGCTGGGTAAAGTTGATTGGAATTATTGATTGTAGAAAAATCTTGACGTTTGGGTACAACTCTTCACTGGACGTACTTGAATAGTTTGTATTTTTGCTCAAACCATACACTGTAAAATGTCACTTAATAAAATGTTGGAAGAGCAAATATAACTAACTTAAACTAATATTTTTGTTAAAGGTTGGTTAAAAAGATAAACTTTTTTGTAATTTTTTACAGTAAAAGTACATGAAAATCATACAACAATACTAGCAACATACAACTAACATGCTAACCATGCTAGAAACATATAAATAAAATGATAAACACGTAAGTAATGTGCTACTGACATGATGATTATGCTAAAAACACTCTAATAAAATGTTAAACGTAAGAAATATGCTAGTAACATGTTAACCATGCTAATCTAATGATAAACGTAAGAAACATGCTAGTAATAAGCTAACCATGCTAGAAACATGGTAATAAAACGTAAGCAGTGTGCTAGTAACATATTACCCATGCTAGAAACATGCTTATAAAATTATAAACATGTAAGCAATGTGCTAATAACATGTTAACCATTTTAGAAACAAGCTAATAAAATTATGAACATGTAAGAAACATCCAAGTTACATGTTAACCATGCTAGAAACATGCTAATAAATTGATAAACATAAGAAACATCAAAATAACTCGTTAACCATGCTAGAAACAAGCTAATGAAATATTAAACAAAGCAATGTGCCAATAACATGCTAACCATGTTCTAAACATGCTAATAAAATGATAAACATATAAGAAACATGCTAGTAACATGCTAACGATGCTAGAAACATAATAACATGATAAACATGTAAGAAACATTCACGTTACACTATGTAATATATATAATAACACTACAAATATTAATTGTGTAAGAAACATGCTAGTAACATGCTAAGCATAGTAGAAACATGCTAATAAAATTAGAAACATGTAAGCAACGTGGTAGCAACATGTTAACAGGCTAATTAAAAATTAAACATGCTAGTAACATGTTAATCATGTTAGAAACATGCTAGAGGCATGCTAACCATGGGAGACTGTTCTATTACATCTCTTTTAACCATGATGCATTAAAAGAATGCATTTAAACTACAGTTACCAGACTGTTAACCTCTTTCTCTCTCTCTCTTAATTGTAGAACCTGTGCTACCAAAAGAATCAGAGGTTTTGCAAATACAGTCAGCATACGGTAAGCCTGACACAAATATATCATGCATTAACTGACAGGAAAGCATTTTTTAAAAGGACAGTTCACCCCAAAAGAGAAATGTTCTCTCCATTTACTCGCTTCAAACCTCTTTGAGTTTTTTTTTTCAACTGAAAAGAAGAAAAAGTAGATATTTTAAAGAATGTTGAGTATTTTTCCCTACTATGGGTGCCAATGGCTAAATAAATAGTGAGTAAATTATTATTGTATTATAGGGAGGTTGGGAGGGGGGTGAACTATAGCCTACTTTTAAAATAAACATACATTGACAGTGCAGGAAAATATCACCGACATGTACAGGTTTGTTCTTTCTTTCTTTATTTATGTTTTTCTTTTCTTTTTTTTCACTTTAGGTAAAGCTACAACGATTGTGCCTCCTCTAAGCCTCATTACTTTTTTCCTTGTGTTTGAAATCTTGTGTTTTTCCACTGGTTGAAATTAACAGATATTTTGTTTTAATTGTATTTCAATAACATTCTGTAATATTTTAGCCCTGTGTGAAATTTCTGTCTTTGAAATGAATGGGTGTTCTTTGCCATTTCTTTCATAGTGGATAATTTACTGCACTCTGAAATGTTCAAATTATTTAAAATAAATCATTATTATATACAACAGAAACACATGGATCAAATAAGTACAAAGATGTGCATTCCTTTGAATTATTAGTAAGTCACCATTAGTGCAAAATTGTCATTTTATCTTTGCGCAGTTTTCGAGTGTATATTATATATTATTTATTTGTGGATATTGAAGTGAGAAGGATTGTGATGAAACATGACCATTTTCATGTTCTTACTGTGTTTTGTAAGCTTACTGTATTGTGTTTCATGCAGAAAACATGCTAATAATAAATTAACCAACAATGAATCTGAATATCTTGAAGTCTGGAAAAAAGTGAACACCTTTTATTTGTAATATAAATGATACCAAATGTATACACAACATAGGCTCATTTTGAAAACATAGTCCTATATACATCTCTTGGTCACAGTATTAACAAACAATTAAACTAACACTACTAGCTTAATAAACTAATTAGCTGTTTAATAATAATTAGTAAGGTACAAATTGGGTTTATATTTAGGTTAGGGTTAGGCATGCCTCCACCCCCAGCATGATGTAGTGGAGTAGCAAGTAACACGCTATTGGGTCATGTGACCGCTAGATGGCGATCTTGGATAATAAGAAGCTTACCACCACTAGGAGTTTGTCAGAGTCATTGGTCTTTAATTATATTCATCTGTCTCCCTATTCTACTGCATCCCAGAGTAATACAAAGCACCAAAAAATGTAAAAAAAAAATATATAATCAATATATTTACCATGTTTTTGTCCGCAACTCGCCGTCACGCCGTGACGGAGATTCCCGAGGCTGTTTGCTCCAATCAGAGGTGTGCTCTCTTCAGCGCTCACCATGACAACGAGACTCCCAGCAGTGACGTCGCCATGTAAACATTTGCATATGCATTCCTATAAAGCTCGGCGGTTCTCGCTCGGTGTTGTCAGTTGTGTCGGTGTTGCTCTTTGTACTTGACCAAGGTAAGTTCAAAATAAACTTCTTTCTCTGAACACCTGTCTCGTGTTTTATTTGTCATGTACAGCACTACACTGTCATATGGGTCCGCTGAATGCATTTGTACGCAACGTGGTTTGACAATAAAGTAGTCTAAATAGTTGTCAAAAATGTACCTTCATTAGTCAACATTTGGTCAAGGTAGTAAAAAGTTAGTCAAAGATGTCCTAAGACATAATGGTAATGTTACGGTTGTTACGTGACTGTATTTACTATTATTATTATGTATGTTTAAAACCAGCAGAATATACTATATATTTAACACGTCATGAACTTACTGTTATTCAAAAAATTGCTTATTAAAAATTTCCTAAGACAAGAATGGCTATTGTTTTGGTTTTATGTCAAACTACTGTAGGTTTTAAGTTACTACAGCAGATATAGGCTACCTTTATCCTAATAATGGTACTAGTCAGAGTTATTTTAATGACCAAAATCGAGTAAAATGTCTCTTACTCTAGTACTTTTTGCATGCAAAAGTCAAATTTACAGTTTTCAACAACAAAATTTTGTCTCGTAAAAATGACCAGTGGGGTGTGAGAAAAAAAGTTAATGTCAAGTTATATATTATATATAAAAGAAGTTGAACAAGTTGTCATAATATTCAGTCATAATGCATTTTTCTGTACATTTCCATTAGACGTTTTTTTCTAAATCTATAATTGGTAAATTGCTCCCAGGTCAATCTGGACTTTGTCTAATGAAGGTGAGGCGTATCTGAAAGGAGATTGTCCTATGTTCACATTTTTACTTTTGTTTTGGGTTTTGTTTTGTTTTTTTTTTTTGTCCTATGGAGTGCTGTCTTTTCCTTTCTGTATCACGATGACATGATCTGGCAACAAATCACCGTACAAACCACAAAAAAATGAAATAAATTAGCCGAAGCTTACATGAGAACATCCATCCAGAGTACACTGTTACATTGACAACATGAGTAAGTAATTTGACTGTCTTATCCGTACACAATGACACAAGGACTTGTCATTCTGACGGCACTGACATGTTCATTGAGAGATGAACCAAGGACTTTAAGCAAGAGACTGGCTTTTGCAGGTAATCCATGCTGTTTGGCTATTTGTATGTGCTTTTTTGAGAAATGCACTTACTGCTTAGCAAATTTTAAATCTGACAAGTTTACCCAAGCGACTGAAAAAACTGTAATACAACACGAGTTAATGCAAAGATGAAAGGTCTGCAAAGACAAAAGTGTGTATTTTTATTTGCACATATCATTTTATAAAACTAGTAGTAGCGTATACATAATTCGGTTGTATATTTTTGGCTCAATATTTAATACGCATTTTGATGTAACCATGTCTATAGTGGAATGGAATCTATAGTGGAATGGAACATCACAACCATGGTTTCTGCAGGTGTCAGTCACTATTTCAAATGTATGACTTTTTAAGTCTTCTCTTAAAACCATTGTGACCCCGACATTTCTCAGAGGTGGTTATAAATATACAAATGTTGCATGCACACATAACAATAGGCCTATATAAGCATGAGCATATTGCCAACACAAAAAGTGCAACAGTCTTAACAATCATGGGCTATAGTTTATATAATCATTTATTCATTTGTTTAATTCAATATTAATAACCCAACCTCAACGAGACCGGTGGACAGCATGTTTTCAGGACAAGTCTATTGGTTTAATTTCGGAGATCATCCTCAATGGTCAGTTGTGGCCTGTGTTTATTTTCAATTTGATTACCATAAAGGGGTCAGAAAGTTTAACCTGGTGCTATAAATTCAGTCTGGGTTGTTGATCTAACGTACAATCTAATCTAATACACAATTCTATGACAAAATTGAAAGGCCGATGGCTTTTTATTTGCATGCGATCCTTGCATGCATGAAATATTGCACATCATGACAGGTTTTGCTTGCTAACTGAAAACGTGCCGGATATAATGCAGTTTTTCGTTCGGAATTGTAGTATTATAAAGTACTGTAAAGTTTTCTAACGGGCGAATGACATGATCTAGTGGGTCTGTCATCTTTAATGTGCGCGTTCGTGATTTCAGGAGGCGTGGCTTTGGACAGCAGGGGAGGGATTGTATTTGAAATATTATGCTAACCAGTTAGCATTTTGGCAGACCACCCACTGCAGCTTTAACTGATGTCACACTAAAGCTCCAATCTGTCAGAAGTCAAACTATGGCATTTAAATGTGGTCAGTAATAAAGTTGAACTTATTGTGGTATTTTCAGTATTTTTTGCTAGTATGATTTGGAGGGGCTCAAAAAAATAAGCCAATGTTGTTCTTGAAAGTACCTTTTTGACCTTTGAAAAAGTACTTAGTCAATGGCATAAAGGCACACTTAAGGGAAGGTTTTCACTCATCAAAACAACTCATTAAATAAAAGACACCAAACATCCCCTAAAAGGTCATTCAGGGTGACCATAACAGTTTAAATATCTAAAAAATACTATTCCTTCATTTTCTTTTCGGCTTAGTCCCTTTATTATTAAACGCCACGGCGGAATTAACCTGCCAACTTATCCAGCACAATTTTACACAGCGGATGACCTTCCGGCCGCAACCCATCTCTGGGACACATCCACACACACTCATTCAGTACGGAAAACGTAGCCTGCCCAATTCACCTGTACAGCATGTCTGGAAAACCCACGCGAATGCAGGGAGAACATGCAAACTCCACACAGAAACGCCAACTGACCTAGCCTCAACAAGACTGACTGCTCATTTCGTCTACATCTAGGCCTATTAAACTACGTGCTTTAGCATAGGCCAACGAAACGCAGAACAGACACCAATTCTCACTTAAGCTCATTTCAGGTTATGATTAGACCTTTCCAGTTTCATCTGGAATGCATCCCAGATGACCTTCTGAAGTGGTTTGAGCGATCGGATGGATATCTGATCAGAACAAAAAAACGAATGAAGTGAGCAAACAGCCTCAAAAACACAGACGTGACAGGAATATATATTGAATATAAATATATTATATTAATTATTTGATAAATATATAATATAAAATTACATAAAATAATTAAAAGGACAAATGCTGGACCTTTTGGCAACACTTTTTCAGTTTGGGTCACAATTCACAGTATTAACAAACAATTAATCTAACACTACTAGCTTAATAAACTAACTAGCTGTTTATTAATAATTAGTAAGGTACAAATTGGGTTTATGTTTAGGTTAGGGTTAGGCATGCCCCCACCCCCAGCATGATGTAGTGGAGTAGCAAGTAACACGCTATTGGGTCATGTGACCGCTAGATGGCGATCTTGGATAATAAGAAGCTTACCACCACTAGGAGTTTGTCAGAGTCATTGGTCTTTAATTATATTCATCTGTCTCCCTATTCTACTGCATCCAAGGGTGATACAAAGCACCCAAAAATGTAAAAAAATATATATTCAGTATATTTACCATGTTTTTGTCCGCAACTCGCCGTCACGCCGTGACGGAGATTCCCGAGGCTGTTTGCTCCAATCAGAGGTGTGCTCTCTTCAGCGCTCACCATGACAACGAGACTCCCAGCAGTGACGTCGCCATGTAAACATTTGCATATGCATTCCTATAAAGCTCGGCGGTTCTCGCTCGGTGTTGTCAGTTGTGTCGGTGTTGCTCTTTGTACTTGACCAAGGTAAGTTCCAAATAAACTTCTTTCTCTAAACACCTGTCTCGTGTTTTATTTGTCATGTACAGCACTACACTGTCATATGGGTCCGCTGAATGCATTTGTACGCAACGTGGTTTGACAATAAAGTAGTCTAAATAGTTGTCAAAAATGTACCTTCATTAGTCAACATTTGGTCAAGGTAGTAAAAAGTTAGTCAAAGATGTCCTAAGACATAATGGTAATGTTACGGTTGTTACGTGACTGTATTTACTTTTATTATTATGTATGTTTAAAACCAGCAGAATATACTATATATTTAACACGTCATGAACTTACTGTTATTCAAAAAATTGCTTAATAAAAATTTCCTAAGACAAGAATGGCTATTGTTTTGGTTTTATGTCAAACTACTGTAGGTTTTAAGTTACTACAGCAGATATAGGCTACCTTTATCCTGATAATGGTACTAGTCAGAGTTATTTTAATGACCAAAATCGAGTAAAATGTCTCTTACTCTAGTACTTTTTGCATGCAAAAGTCAAATTTACAGTTTTCAACAACAAAATTTTGTCTCGTAAAAATGACCAGTGGGGTGTGAGAAAAAAAGTTAATGTCAAGTTATATATTATATATAAAAGAAGTTGAACAAGTTGTCATAATATTCAGTCATAATGCATTTTTCTGTACATTTCCATTCTACGTTTTTTTCTAAATCTATAATTGGTAAATTGCTCCCAGGTCAATCTGGACTTTGTCTAATGAAGGTGAGGCGTATCTGAAAGGAGATTGTCCTATGTTCACATTTTTACTTTTGTTTTGGGTTTTGTTTTGTTTTGTTTTTTTTGTCCTATGGAGTGCTGTCTTTTCCTTTCTGTATCACGATGACATGATCTGGCAACAAATCAAATGTCAATTTCAAAATGTTGAAAGTCTCTAACGGGACCATTTTCAGTCCCAAGATCCCCCGTTACAACTCTAGGGCATCCTCCCAAACGCTCCATGCTTCCATATAATATGCTCCAATAAGCTTTGGATCACAGCCAAATAATCTTACGCGAAAACCCATCAATACAGCCATTTATACAAACGCCATATGGTTTCAGTTTATCGTATGAGTCCAAATGCCATATAAAGTTTGGTCCCTATAGCAAAGTAGTTGCGCCTCCTCAGTCGTCTTGCTCTCCTCACTGAAACACCTGCAAGGTCCAGTTCCTTCAGCACTAAGCGCACGTCTTCTTTTCTCACACGTAGACCATTTTCTCTACATTTCGTGTACATCCATCGGTACCCATGAAGTTGCCCAGAGAATTGCAGCTGATTTTGGATGAAATCAACAAGAACAGCTAAAGCTTCCGGCTAAACAGTCCTTTTTCGCGCAATATCCTTTTCAAGTGTCTTTCACTTATATCAAAACCGGGCCTTGAACTAAGCATTGAGCATATTATCCTTAAGCCCAAGTTCAAAATAAAGCTCTATGAAGCCGTCCATCGTAAACGCAAGGACCCTAAAATGAAGAAAGAGGAAGTGTTGTTTTAAACAGAAAGTGTTTATTTGCGAGATAACGCAAAACATCTTTGCGAGATAACACAAAACATCTTTGCGAAATAACACAAAACATCTTTGCGAGGGAACGCAAAACAACTTTGCGAGAGAACGCAAAAACTTAGAAATATATATTTTCCTCCCACCCATTTTTTTCTTTCACCCATTTTTTTTTTTCATTCAGCCAATTTTTTTCTCCACCACTACCAGATTATCAGAACCAAGGACACCAATCAGAAATGAAAAGGACATACTGCTATCAAGGTGAAAACATTCATTCATTCATTTTCTTTTCGGCTTAGTCCCTTTATTAATTAGGGATCACCAGAGTGGAATGAACCGCCAAATTTTCCAGCATATATATTTTTTTGTCAGATGCCCATCCAGCTGCAACTCATCACTGGGATACACCCATACACTCTCATTTACACACTAAGGCCAGTTTAGTTTATTCAATTCACCTATCGTGCATGTCTTTAAACTGTGGGGGAAACCAGAGCACCCGTAGGAAATAGGAACATGGGGAGAACATGCAAACTCCACACAAGAATGCCAACTGACCCAGCTGGGACATGACTTTGCTGTGAGAAGACAGCGCTAACCATTGAGCCACCGTGTGGCCCCATGAAAGCAACACACACAACAAAAATAAATAATGTAATAATATTATTTTATTAGAAATGTACAAAACCAATATAAAGACAGCATATTGAATATAGTGTGCACAAGCCATTACGTACACCCAAAAGCGTCAGGCATATCCAAATGTTGCAGCAAAGAACATGATTCTTGCCACAGAAAATATCAATGTTTTCAATGTAGAGAATATTTTTACTGACAGGAATGTGTGATTGTAAAAAGAAAGGAATGATTAAAGGCACAGGTCACCAAAACATCTTAAGTTACTCTCCATATTTCTATTCAACACAAAAAAAGATATTTTGAATAATGCTGGAAACAGGTGACCATTGACTTCTATAGTACACTCACTGTCATAAATGCTGCGTTCCACACAATCGATTTTGTGTTTGGGCAACATGAAAGTGTTAGCTTATTAGTTTTTACAATTTTACGTGGAGGAAACATAAAAAGTTAAGTTGCCCTCCTAAAACTCAAGAATTGCATTTTCTTTCAGCTCATTTTAAATAAGTAGCATGGACAACCAGCAAAAGTCCCTTTTTTGCCGCTGCAAAATAGGTTGTTTTAAATTGAGTTGAATAAAATGAACTTTTCTACACTGTAAACAATGAAATAAGTGAGTAAACCTGTTGATTTAAAAATAATTAGTTGACATTACTTTAAAAACGTTGACTTAAAATGTTTAAGTAAATGAACTATGTGCGTAATTTAAAAAATTAAGTTAGTTGAACTTATCAATTATAAGTCGAAACTGGTTTACTCACTTTTTAAAGTTAAGTCAACTTGTCGCTTTTAAAGCAATGGGTTTACTCAATTATCTAAGTAAAGTAAATAATCCTTTTTTTACAGTGTCGTCATTTCAACTTACATCAGTCAGACTGACTAAAAATATTAAGTTAAACTTTGCATGACTTAAAAATGAGTTGAAACCTGATTCACTTATTCATTCATTTTCCTTCGGCTTAGTCCCTTTATTCATAAGAGGTCACCACAGAGGAACGAACCGCCAACTATTACAGCATATGTTTTGCGCAGCGAATACCTTTCCAGCTGCAACCCATCACTGGGAAACACCTATACACTCTCACATTTACTCATACACTACGACTAATTTAGCTTATTCAATTCACCTATAGCACATGTCTTTGAACTGTGGGGTGAAACCAGAACACCTGGAGGAAACCCATGCCAACATGGGGAGAATATGCAAACCCCACACAGAAATGCCAACTGACCCAGCCTGGACTCAAATCAGTGACCTTCTTGCTGTAAGGCGACAGTGCTAACCACTGAGCCACTGTGTCACAACTTGATTAACGTATTAAGATAAGTTAAAGCAACATAGAAACATTTGCTGTCATGACTTTGTGTGTAGGAAAACAAAATGGAGGTCAATGGCTACCGGTTTACAACATTATTAAAATAACGTCTTTTGTGTTCAGAAAACAAATCAGGTGACTCAATAATGACAGGATTTTAATATTCGATTAAGCTTCATTCAGTGACTTGAAGGGTCCTCTGTTTGCTACATTTGGCCTCGTTTTCAACGGCGCGCTCCACACGTGGGTAAAACGGTCCGACCAGCCAGTTGAGAGGAGTGTTGTTGAGCAGGTAGTCCATCACGTTGTCCATGGACTCTGTGATTCTGCTGAGCTGTGAGCGGCTGGAGGACAGGACGGTGCTGGACAGATCCCCCAGCACGGCCGCTTTACTGAAGCTGCTGTAGATCTCCAATGCGGAGCGGCTGACAGAGCCCACCTGGAGCTGGACGTGCTGAGGGAGACCCCTGAGACTGGACACCAGCACCACGCATGTGCTCTGAAGCTGCTGGCTGAGGCTGTGGGCGATGGTCAGTGTGCGCGACTCAATTTGCTGAGAGGAAAAAAACGAAGAAACATATTTGACTGATTCATTCGAGTGATAGATTTACTACTATAGAAATTATTAAGGGGATAGATTATGCAAAAAATTATATTTAGGATCTGGGTCGAACCAGCCTCTCCCTCTGTCATGTTCACCAGTGATCCAGCCTGTGCAGATCATTGGTAAACACACAGTTCGCTACAAATCTACCAGCAAAAGAACTACAAGATCCAGTCACGCACCACTTGCACACCTGACCTAGGTCCTGTCTGATTGCAAACACTCACAGCTGAAGCTGCTCATGAACTGATTACATGTCCTATAAGGAGAGCCCTCACACACACACATCTGGGCTGAGTCTTGTTATACTGAAGTGTAAACATTATGACGGGTTTTCCTTGCCTTGTCTTGCTGTGTTTTTGACCCTCGCCTTGTTTGTTCATTTACATTGCCTGCTGCATGCCTGTACTGACCATCTGCCTGTTATTATGACTCTGGATTTCCTGTGTACATCTGTTTGCCCCTGTGTTGACCATTGCTTGCGTGACCATCCTGCTAATAAACCCTGTGTTTGGATCTGAACTCCGTTGTCTGTACCCCGCAATCTGAAAAAAATTCAAAACTGACCCAAAACAAACCATTAGGTCGGCAATGAAAATTCGCTTGAGTGGTTTGACTGGCATTCTAAGAGCCGTGGAAGTTTTAAAATAAGAAACAATAAAAAAAAATTATAAAATATCTTTAATCACTGACTTTTAAGTAGTTTTAAACATTTGTGAGTTTTCTTTTTTGATTGATTGGCTCATTTTCTTTTTAACTTAGTCCCTTTATTAATCAGGGGTCACCACTGCGGAATGAACCATCAACTGATCTGGTATATGTTTTACATAGCGGATGCCCTTACAGCTGCAACCCATCACTGGGAAACATCCTTATTTGGTTAAACAAAAAATATGTATATTATGAAAAAAGGTAAAAATGTGAAGACATCGACTTCAATGGTAGGAAAAACAAATACTATAGAAGTCAATGGTTACAGGTTTTCAGCATTTTTCAAAATATCTTCTTTTCTGTTCGACAAAAGATGAAACAAGTAAAGGTTGAGAAATTGATGACCGATATTTCCTTTTTGAGTGAACTACCCCTTTCAAATTAAAGATGCCTGTACACTATTGTACAGAACATACTTCAACAGTCACAAACATATTTTTATTTGATGGCAGCTCATCAAAATTAAGACGGATTCTAAAATGAGGGAAAGTAACTGTAAAATAAATAGATTTTATTTGACAATAGTGTATATTACAATTTACTTTACATTTTATTTACATTTTAAATTATTTATAGTAATAACAATAAGATCAAAATCAGTATAATCTTTTGTAATATTTAATGTGTCAACAACAGTGTGAATTTGCGCATTATATTACCTTTATTACATATAATATTTATAAATATTATGATTATAGTAAATCTTTTCTAAAATTTTAAACCCAAAAATGGATATTGTGATTTAAAATGTCTTTGGAGTAAAAATTGTTTTTAATTCCAAAACAGTTTACTTTTTTTTTTTCTCAAACTCTACATTTTTTTTTCAAATCTCTCAAACTACGTTCTTCTATTTTTGATATTATTATTATGCTTAAAACTCATTATTATAACCAGAAAGCTACACCTATTAACTGAAATCATGTTACATAATCAGTTAAAAAAAATTATTTAATGTACCCTATGGGACATTCTACCAGAAACAAACATTATCTGTCCTCGAAATAAAAGTATAAATACAGTGAATAAAAAGTATTTCGTGCTAGAAAATGTCTAAAATGGACTGAAGGTTGATTTCTGTGAGCTGATTTGTAAAGGAATATGTCATTTATCTGATTCTCAGATTTTTTTTTTTTTTTTATAAAAACACTTAACGAATGTACAAACTCTGTCCTTATCCTCAGTCCAATTAAACCCACATCTTTAATAGTTTTGTTATGCTAAAAACTGTTATTTAAAGAAAAAAATACATCAGAAATAGCAAGTTTAAGTAGTTATCATTTACATCAATTGATTAAAAAAATTTAATTATAAATAAATTCTACAAATGAAAGACTATTTTACAACTGTCTCTATGTGTTCGGTCACTCCTGTCACATTTGCATTAAATTCAACATAAAAAGCATGCAATAAACCTTTAAGGCTATATGACAGTAGAAGCTGACAGTGATCAAGGATGCGTTCTATCATTAAATTGTATGATTTTATGCTTGTTTTTGTATGATTTTTTTTCGGAGGACAAGCTTAAATTAGGCCCTGTCACATTTTCTATTAGGGAAAATGTACTTTTCTGGTAGAATCTCCCATATAACAGTGGTTCTCAACCATGTTTCTGAAGGACCACCTGCTCTACATATTTACCGTCTCTTCTTAAACAAACACACCAGAATCAGATCATCAGCTCATAAGCAGAGACTGGAAGAGCTGTAATGGGTGTGACAGACAAATGAGACATTCAAAACATGAAACATGGTGGTCCTCCTGGAACGTGGTCGAGAAACACTTCCCTATATTTTATTTCTTTGCTTTTTTCTCATTAAATTAGTTTTATTTCTATTAAAATTAAAACACAGGAAACCAATAATGTAATTACTTTAAGTTTTAATTATTAATCTTTTTTTTTTCGCTTTAGAATTTCATCAGCAGTTTTAATATATTTCTGTCACAATAATGTATACCAAGTTAAAGCCTTCTCTGTGTACAATAAAAGACCAAAATGTCTCAAGTGAAAAGCAATAAATCATCATCAATTTGCTGTATATATTGCTAAAAAGCATTAATATCTCTGATACCTCAGCTTCACTGTCTGTTTCGCTCTCTGTTTCTTGGCTTTGAGAAACGCTCTTCCAGCCCATTAGTGAACCCAGTTTCTCCTGCAGCTTCTGGTTAGACCCATCAATATTCTTCCTGGTAAATTCGATCTAAAAAACAAAAGCAATAAAATAATTTGCTAGTACTTTGATTACATTACTGTATACCTCTGTGAGTTCATCTAAAGATCAACCTACTATATCCATGGTGAGGTTAAGCTGTGAAATGGACTCCTGTCCGCGCTGCACGGCATGACGAACTTTCTCCACGGCTCTCTGATAAGTCCTGTCTCTGACTTTAATGGACAGAGAGCCCAGTCGGACATAATAATTGGCCAAATCGCTGTCATTTTCCAATCCTTCAGTATTCCTCTCTTCACCTTCTGAGAGAGAAACGGGACAAAGGAACATTTGTTGAGATTGGTTAGATCTCCATTTGCGAGATTAGTGAGGCTCAGGAAATGAGAGTAATTTCAGATTTCTGGTCAACAATCTCTTTGAGACGTGAACAAGTCGGATGTTCTGCACATAAATGGGATTAATTTTCTTTTTCCAGGGACATGAAGTAATTCCCAGCACTATTTGACACACATAACAGAGCATATAGTATGGATGCTCTTGTTAATTAGTTAGAAAGCCATGTCTCCTGAGAAGCATATCACAAGACTATCACAAGACACTAACCTAAAATGTACATATGCAGTTCATGGAGTGCAAGAGGTATTTATGGATGATTTATTATTATTTTTTAATTGTGTTGAAATTTAGTCAATCTTTGAAAAAAATTGAAACAAATTTCCATATACTGAAAGTCATTCATCAAGATATATTTTTCAAAACATAGAAACATGTCATTGTGTTGGCAGAGATGTAGCTTTTGGGGGGGGGGGGGGGTCAGCTATTTATTTATATTCCTTCAGATAAGTCCCTTTATTCATCAGGGGTCACCACAGCGGAATGAACCGCCAACTTATCCAGCATGTGTTTTACGCAGCGGATGCCCTTTCAGCTGCAACCCATCACTGGGAACTCACACACTCATTCGCACACATACATACACTACGGGCAATTTAGCCAACCCAATTCACCTGTACCACATGTCTTTGGACTATGGGGGAAACCGGAGCACACGGAGGAAACCCACGCGAACGCAGGCAGAAATTCTTATTACATGTTTTATCCCTTTGTCATATGTAACTGTTTTTGTATGTGTGTGATGATGTGTTTTTTTATTTTAGGTTGCCTTTTAAAATCTGGCAGGGGGCAACAGATGAAAATTAGCCCTTGTGGTTGACTCTGGCTTATTTACAGTTTTACTGTTTATTAATGAGCATTGTCCCTGTTAAATTCAATAAAAAAAATAAAATAAAAAAAAAACATGCAAACTCAACAATTGCAATAATTGTGTAATGATTTTAAGTTTTAATAATTCAGAATTTGTAATAAATAATAATTAGTACTTTAGTAATATTTATTTTAAAAAAATTATTTTCAAAATTTTAACTTACTGTACAATTGTAATATATAAAATAAACAAATTAGGCTATTTAAACTTACAGTAGTGCATTCTAAATGAATAATTCACCCAAAAATGACGATTCATTATTAATAAAAAGGGTTTCTTTGTTGTTTTGAACACAAAAGACGATATTTTGAAAAAATCTGAAACCTTTTACTATTGACTTCAATAGTAGGAAAAACAATGGCTACAGGTTTCCAACATTCTTCAAAATTACTACTTTTGTGTTCAACCAATTCAAAAAGATTTGCAACAAGTAAAAGCTGAGTAAATGATGATAGAATTGTCCTTTTTAGGTGAACTATCCATTTAAACTGCCTTTTTATGCAGTATTTAAGGTTTCAAAATTAGTTTTGAAGGTCTCATGTGATTACATCCATCTGAGGTCAAGATTTTACATGCAACTTATTTAACAAAACATAACTGTGTGCTCCTACTCCATTCACTTAGTAGTGACCAGTGCATAGCACAAACCGCGTGGGCGCACCCGCAAGAGGAGGGGAAGGAAATTTGTATCAAAATCCGACTCCCTGGACAAATCTGACTCCCCTTCGCATGCATCACTCAGCGCCTCCAGTTAAACTCACTGCGGTTTATTGTGACATTTTTATTGAGAATTTTTTTCTGAAATTGACAGCAAGAAGGATCATAGAAATATTGTTTAATTGACAAGCAGCACCAATGTTCAAAAGAATTTAAAACGCCAAATAAGACAAATTTATACCCCATTTCGAAAGTTAAACATACTCTAATAGGTAGTGTAATCTACACAACATTAAATGCAGTGTGTGGGCAAGAGGGGGCTGTGTTTTGACGTGATCCAGTTATGTTGTAGTTCTGTGACTGCTGGTTTTAACTGCAAGTTGGTTAAAAGTTATAACAATTAAAGTAACTAAGTTAAATAAAATTAAATAAAATATTTTCCCAGAGATAGGTTGCGGCTGGAAAGGCATCCACTTTGTAAAAAACGTGCAGGATAAGTTGGTGGTTCATTCCGCTGTGGCAACCCTGGATTAATAAAGGGATTAAGCCGCAAAGAAAATGAATAAATGAATGAGTAAATAAAATATTAATCTAATATTTTGGGTGGGTTTTTTTTTTGCGTTTGGGTGGGTTTTGAACAGCTTTTGGGCTGAAAAAAGTCAGCTATATCTGACAACACTGCTGCTTTCTAACAGCCTGCTTTGCTTTGCTTTGATTTGATTTGTTCAGGTTTCCCAGCCTGCTCTGACTTTTCTACTGCTTACAGCATGTCAGAAAGAAAACGCCAACACTCAAAAAATGATGTTTGCTATTTGTTAAAAACTACTTATTTAAAATGAGCTCAAACACTACAACTTTTAGGTTTAATCCACTTAAATTTGTAAAAACTAATAAATTAATTCCTTCATGTTATCCCACCACAAATCAGCTGTGTGGAACCAAGCATTTTTTGCAGTGTATTTACTTTAAACACATAAACTTAAACAGTAAACAGCAAATTAAGCCAAAAACTAAACTAAACAATAAACCAAAGTCTTCTAGGTTTCGGCTACAGTGTTTGTGAGTCAAAGTATAAAGTTTTTGCATTGAAAGCAGCCACACATCAGATAGAAAACAGTAAACTGATAAGAAACTAATAGTAAATGAGGTGCTCACCTTTTTCCTCCTCATTTTCAGGCAAGTAGTGCTCCAGCAGCGTCTCAGATGTGCTCAGTGCATTGTCCACTCTACTGGACACCAGTTTGAGCATCCTGCTGTCCATCACTGTCTGGACTCCACCGCTGACCACAGTCTTGGTCTTCTCCACGCTGCCCTGTACTGCCCCACGTGTTCGGTCCATCACATCATTTAGGGTGATGGAGACAGACTCCTTGGCACCGCTCACAGTCCCGCTGACAGCCTCCTTGGCTCCTGTCACTGCATCTTTAGCATTGGCCATAATCTGAAAGAGAAGAATAAACATAAGACTCTTAACAGAACTAGATTCTCCTGGAGAAATCATTATAAATGGCTACTTTATCTATAGAAGCTGTATTTTTTATATACACACAGTCGAAGTAAGAATTATTAGCCCCCCTAATAATTTTGTTTTCTTTTTTAAATGTTTCAGAAATTATGCTTAACAGAGCAGGGAATTTTCACAGTATGTCTGATAATATATATTTTTAGTCTTTTTAGTCTTATTTGTTTTATTTTAGCTAGAATAAAAGCACTTTTTAATTTTGTAAAACCCATTTTAAGGTTAAAACTTTTAGCCCCTTTCAGCTAATTTTTTTTTCTGATAGTCTACAGAACAAACCATCGTTACACAATAACTTGCCTAATTACTCTAACCTGCCTAGTTATCCTAATTAACCTAGTTAAGCCTTTAAATGTCACTTTAAGCTGTATAGAAGTGTCTTGAAAAATATCTAGTCAAATATTATTTACTGTCATCATGGCAAAGATAAAATAAATCTGTTATTAGAAATGAGTTAATAAAACTCCTACCACTGCTACTGCTATGCTGATGATACCCAGCTATACCTCTCTTTTCATCCTGATGATCCCTCGGTTCCAGCTCGCATCTCAGCCTGCCTGTTGGATATTTCACACTGGATGAAAGATCATCATCTTCAGCTGAACCTCGCAAAAACGGAAATGCTTGTAGTTTCTGCCAACCCGACTCTACACCATAACTTTTCAATCCAGATGGATGGGGCAACCATTACTGCATCCAAAATGGTGAAAAGCCTTGTAGTAACGATTGATGACCAACTAAACTTCTCTGACCAAATTTCTAGAACTGCTCGATCGTGCAGATTCGCACTCTATAACATCAGAAAGATCCGACCCTTCTTATCTGAACATGCAGCTCAACTCCTTGTTCAAGCTCTTGTTCTCTCCAAACTGGATTACTGCAACTCTCTACTAGCTGGGCTTCCAGCTAACTCTATCAAGCCTCTTCAACTGCTCCAAAACGCAGCAGCACGAGTGGTCTTCAATGAACCTAAACGAGCACATGTCACTCCGCTGCTAGTCCGTTTGCACTGGCTGCCAGTTGCTGCTCGCATCAAATTCAAAGCTCTGATGTTTGCCTACAAAGTGACTTCTGGCCTTGCTCCTTCTTATCTGCTCTCACTTCTGCAGATCTATGTGCCCTCCAGAAACTTGCGTTCTGTGAATGAACGTCGCCTCGTAGTTTCCATCCCAAAGAGGAAAGAAATCACTTTCGCGAACGCTCACGCTCAATCTGCCCAGCTGGTGGAATGAACTCCCTAACTGCATCAGAACAGCAGAGTCACTCGCTATTTTCAAGAAACGACTAAATACTCAACTATTTAGTCTCCACTTCATTTCCTAACCTGCAATTGCCTCTCTGAATATCACACTAACTGTACCAAAAAAAATAAAATACTAATACTACTAATACTTTCCTTCTTAGACTTTACAGACATGAAACTTGCCTATAGCACTTATTCATTGTTGCTCTTAGTTGTGTAAATTGCTTCCTTGTCCTCATTTGTAAGTCGCTTTGGATAAAAGCGTCTGCTAAATGACTAAATGTAAAAAAAATGTAAATGTAAAACTATTATGTTTAGAAAAGTGTTGAAAAAAATCTTCTCTCTGTTAAACAGAAATTGGGGAAAAAATAAACAAAGGGGCTAATAATTTTGACTTTCACTGTATATATTCCACATTTTTTCTCATTCATTCATTAATTTTACTTCAACTTAGTCCCTTATTTATCAGGGGTAGCCACAGTGGAATGAACCGCCAACTATTCGAGCATAGATTTCATGCAGTGGATGCCCTTCCAACTACAATAATTTTTTTCTATAGATTTTTATTTATATATTTATAGTATATATACGTTTTAAGACAGCATAGCATGAATCAATCATTTATGTTATTCATTGTGGTTCAAGTGAATGCGCGGAGCTAAAGATACATTTTTTTGTTCAGTTTGCTCAATATCACCTTCTGATTGGTGGATTTAAAAAAATAATTGTATTGTGTACTTTTTTTAACTGAAATTCAGCTGTTATACGCGATTATTAAAAAGGTAAAAATATATATATTTGAATGAATAATGGCTTTGGCAACTTTATTAACAGGTCTGTCTTAAAATATTTAATTGGTTATTGATAAATTTCAGCTTCCTAATTAAGAAAATTTATGGCTCTAAAACTTGCTTATAACACTGTGGTTTGAGTGTAATAATGTTTGTAATGTTTGTAATAATTTTTGGTTTAATTTGCTCTATTACTCTCTGATTGGCTGATGCGCCAATTTCCAATTCATTGCTTTAGTTTAATGATCTTTTTTTTTTTTACTTTAACTAAAAGGTTTGCAATGTTGTGATACACATCAAATCTGGTTGGTTGTATTAATGCTTTAAAACATCTGATAAATTCTTATAGAAGAAAAATGCCGCTGGAAAAATGTCCGGTTACTCATGCTCTTTATTACTGTAATGTCATGTGAAAGACAGTTTGTTCCCTTGCCAGTTAACACGAAAAGAGCTAAACAGATGTTATATTGCATGACAAAAGTGAAAGTGATCATTATTTTTGATAAACGAATAGGAGCACACTTTTATTTTAAGAACTATCATTAATAATAATAATAAAAAACAAAATAAAAACTATTAACTTTATTCCCATGATGACTATTTACCTGTTCAGATGGCTTGTGTAGGATCGGCAGAGTCTTTTCTATCTTATCAAGTCCTTTGCACGCCAGGTCATTTGCCATAGAGACAACAAAAAAAAAAAAAAAAAGCTTGGTCAAAAGCAGTCACACTGTAATCTGCCCTGATCTCACCCTGCAAACAACAATAGACTTACTCTGAGGCTCCAGTTTGCCAATGATTGGTAAAGCGCTGTGAAAGGCAGCTGAGGTTATGGATTTGACACCATTCTCAGCAACCTCGCACACAGACTTCAGGTATGGGTGGTTGTTCTTGGTGTTGACGTACACGTTCGACATCATGTCATAGGTGGAAACAACCAGGGGAAGGTGAACAATTCGGGCAACCACATTCTAGAAAGGAACAAACAGGCATGAAAAAATTCAGTCACATTTCATCTAACAAACATCATATTTACATTTAAAATGAGACATCTTTGCTGCAAAAAACTAAACAAAACTATTTTACAGCTTTTTTATTAACTTCTGACATGGATCTTAAAAGATTCTGTCTTGCCTCTTTTCATAACATTATTTTGATCGCATCACTAGAAGGGGCTAGAACACATGCTGTGATGTATTGTAGTGAAACAGCCCAAGCTTTTAAAAAACTGTTGTAAATGGAAGATGTCCAGGGTTTCTGCAGGTTTCACCAAGTCAAATGTAAGACTTTTAAAGACCTTTTTAACACCATGAAGAATCAAATTTCAGACTTTTATAGGGCTAAACACGAATAATTGTTTTAATGGTCCAGCAAAAAAAAAAAAAAAAAAAAATTTAAAGGTCATTTCTTAGTGACATATTTAAAACAAGCAGACCTTGGTTGTAAACACATTTTTCGTTCAACATAACTTAAAAAAAACTCTTTAAAAACTAAATGTTTGCACATCAGACTACAGTTATAATAAAATTCATCAAGAGTTTTGCTCAAAGTTTTACTGAAATGTGTTGTTGGTGATTGGATGTGTTTTGGATTGATTGGGTAGCTTTACATAAACAAAGGAAAATTAAGACCTGTTTAAAATTAATTAAGACGAACAAGACAATATTTCAGTGAAATTAAGGTCGTTTTAAATCTTAAATTTTTTAATGATCGTTTAAATTTTAGACATTATAAGACTTTTTAAGACCTCGTGAATACCCTACTGCCGTTGGTTGATGAGGGTTTAAAAAATAAATGTTTAATGTTTAATAAATCTGGGCAAATGTATCCCCCACCTCAACTATAAAGTCAAGCAGTCAAACTAGCTAAAGACTTAGTTTTAAAAACGAAATATTTTATATATAATTTTTAGTTGTGAATTAATTTTAAGAAAACAAATTACTTAAAAAGATTTACAAGATGCTTTACATATTATTATTATTATTTAGCATTAAGACAAATGCAGAAAGGGAGTGGTTGAGTGATATAAGAAAACAGTAAAATAAACCTAATTAAAATACATTAAAATAGCAAAGGTGCATTTCAGAACTTTTGGGCCCCATGGCTGGAATTGCTTAGGGCCCACAATTCACTGAACCCACCCCTGAATGTATGTTGTGTTTCTTTTAAAATACATTTATACAAATATACCAATATAAATATGTACTGTCATCCTTGCTTTGTCACCCTACCAAATAAACAAAAACCACACAAACATCTTCAATATTACATGACATTAATGAGGATTAAAGTGGCAAACCTGGTTATTTACATCCTCCATAGAACCCATGTTAGCAGAAAATCTGCAAAAGAAAATAGTTCAAGTCGTAAGCAAACTGACATCTCTTTCATTTAAAGCATTAGACAAAACAACACACATAGGTCTATGTTGAGAGAGCTTACAGATAAAAGATAGAAACCGAACAAAAACGCTTTTTTACCTGTTGTGCAGTTTCAAGTGCAGAAGAAAGCTCATGAAGTGCTTCTCAGTTGCTGTAATGAGGATTGATCGACTGCTTTAGATTTTATAGGAAGGAGCTGTGGCGATAGACTAAAGATGACGTCACGACGAGCGATGTAGTCCAAAGGTCGGGGATTTCACGCTGAGACCATGAAAATGACATAAACCGGTGTTTGCGAGGTTCATTTAACGGTTAAGCATTAGTTCTCAAACGTTTATAATACACAATTAAAAACATAACACGGTTTGAGTTTAAGGTGCAGTTTGACATCTGAAACATGTTTTACAAAAACTACGTAACGTTAGCAGCTGACATACTGTAGCAACTTCCGGTTTTATTGACCTAATTATTGTGTAATCTAGGTTGAAGTTCACACATAGTGTCTGTACAAGTGAATTAAGGCGAATATGTTGTATCAGGGCATAACATATAGGTTAAAAGTCATCGGCCATCGTCACAAGGACTTTGTCATTTTGAAAATGTTGTCATCTGTCTGACATCATTGTCATTAATGGATGAGATCACTCTTCTTCAGCACCTAATACCTAGATTTAATACTTGTTGAAATTTACTTCACTGTTGAATCTCTTAAGCTTATTAATAATAATAATAAGAATACGTTACTTAAAGCTTATCATATTATTTTTTTTCTTAATGATTGAGACTTTGTAAAGTTTTTTTTCTTTTTTATTTTTTTGTTATTGTATTTTCTCTTCAATGCAGTGATGTTTTTCTGTTTAATAAAAAAACTCTTCTTCAGCATCTCGAAAATACATGCATAAATGAATACACATAAAAAAACTAATCTGGAGCAAATAACTGAAAGAAGTCCCGTGCTCAGTAAGTTTGTACGGTAAAATAAAAGTTTAAAGAAACCATATCTGAATATGTAGGCCTAATGTGTGCCTATAATTCATAGCTGAAACTTCATTAGAATTTTTTAGTGTTCATTTGTATGTTCCTTCAGAAATAATTGATTTGCTGCTCTACTATGTATGATAATTTATTATTCACGCTCAGTCATTAGGTTAATAATGGTTCTTATTATTATTAACAAATAATCTGCTTCTCTTATTTTGTAAATACTGTGATATGGTTTGTTTTTTCGGGTACTTTGATGGATACAAAGTACAAAGTAATGGATTTTAATTTTATTTAGTAACATTAATGTCTTTACTGCCACTTTTGTCACTGACATGTCATCTAATTAATGTGTCCCAGAAGAGTATTTATAAAACAACAATTAGTGATTAAAGTAAGTGATTTAAGTAAATAAATGCATAGTTCACCCAAAAAAATGTAAATTCTTTCATCTTATATTCTTCCTCCATTTCTTCCAAACTGGTAATATATATAAAACTAATGAGATATTTCGTCACCTTAGAATTATAAGGTTCTATCTGCGTTCTGAATGATTTTGAGATATTGAGCTTCAAAGTTATTGCATTCCATATAGCAAACAACATGTGTGTAACAGTTCTCTTTCATACATTAACATGACAGAGACCCTAAGGGTCTAAATGTAAATTATCAAAGTTCTCTTACATTTGCAAATTGGAGTAAATAAACCACGGTAAATGCAGATAGAACCTTCTCATTCTGAAAAGTCATTTTCCACTTGGAGTTATAAGGTTCTATCTGCCAGATCATTCATTGAAGCATTACTTATCAAGAAATACAATAAAAAATATATAGTTTAGTGTTGTAACAAAATGTTAATGCTTGAGAAAGTTAAAAATTTTGCTTTCTATAACATTTATTTTATGTTTTAGGATGACATTTTTTTTCTTTTAAAATTAAGCAGGCTGTACTAAATATTTTTTTCCAGTGCAGCTGTTAGTTTTATCTAATTAATATGTTCATATTTATTAAATTGTATGTTTTAAATAAATTATTGAATTATATTTATTGAATTATATGCTCCATGAAATAAATTAAGGATTTGCCCTTCAAGGCTTAATATTAAACTTATAGACTTTAAAAGAAACAATGAGCAAATCAGTTTAATAAACACTGAAAAGTGTTTCACTGACTATATACAAAAATAAAAATATTTCACTTTTAATATACAAATTTTTAAATATTCATTTCTTTTTCAACAATGTAAAATTGAGCAATTCATCTCAACATTTGCGACGCAGTAGCGCAGTGGGTAGCACGATTGTCTCACAGCAAGAAGGTCGCTGGTTCGAGCCTTGGCAGGGTCAGTTGGTGTTTTTCATGTGTGGAGTTTGCATGTTCTTCCCGTGTTTGCGTGGGTTTCCTTTGGTGCTTTGGTTTCCCCCACAAGTCCAAAGACATGCGGTACAGGTGAATTGGATAAACTAAAATTGGCCATAGTGTATGTGTGTGTGATTGAGTGTGTGTGTGGGTGTTTCCCAGTGTTGGGTTGCAGCTGTAAGGGCATCCGCTGTTTAAAACATATGCTGGATGAGTTGGTGGTTCATTCTGCTGTGGCAACCCCAGATTAATAAAGGGACTAGGTCGAAAAGAAAATGAATGAACTAATCTCAATGTCAAGAAATGCTTCTAAATCCATATACACACATTAAATCCACATTTACACACATTTCAATTTTGTGGGGTGCGGCATTTTTTAATTGACTCTAATTTTGTGTGATTTTGTGTTTCTGGTGTTTCCCGCTGTCAGTGGCGCAGTCCAGTGAAATGACAAAGAAAGCTGATCCTGATTGGTCCTCGTGCATGCATTAAAAATGCTGATTGGCTCACAGATAGAACCTTATAGAGCCAAGCTAGAGTTCAACTTATACACCTTTTTTGTTTTTTAAATAAAAAGCCTTAAAATGTAAACAACTTATAAAAACACATCCCATAATGTAAATAAGTTGCCATTTAAAAAGAATATGTGAATAACTCAATTTTGACAAAAATGTCAGATAGAACCTTATAATTCCAAGGTGACGATTTAAAGAATGTTGAAAAATCTTGTTTTGTGTGCAACACAACACAGAAATGCATACAAATTTAGAACTTCTTGAGTGTGAGAAAATAACGGGGATTTTGATTTTAACTTGATGGGTTTTTATGCTTCACATCATAGAAAATAATTTTTCTTTTATAAAACTTTTTAGGTTCTTTGGGTAAACCGAAAACACCCTCGAAACTTTTATTTTTCTATAGCTTGCATAAGAAGGTCTTTTTTTTCTTTTTAAATCAAACAAAAAGTGCTCAGGGGTAGCTTAATTAATGTGTCTGTGCTCTTTGAGTAAGGGTATTCATCAGAATAAACAGCAAAAGTAAGTCAAAGGCACTCAAAAATGTAGAAATATTATTAAAAAGCCTTTATTGACATGGATATTTCATAATAATTTTATTTAAGTGCAAACACATAAAAAACAGATGAAATGTTTAAATGTCTGTCGTGTAAGTGTAGTGACGTTGTATAACCACTAGATGCAGCTACAGTAAAACAAGTCCGCTGCTTGCTACATTGTTTTGTTTATTTATTTACGAATATCCCACTTTGAACAAACAATAACTTGAATTGTTGAATTAATAGATGCAGATGAAAACTTAGTTTAAAACCACAGAACATTTTCTGAATTTACTGAAATTCATGACTAAAGTTATGCCCTGTAATTAACAGCCACCCAAGTTTTTATTCATATTTTAAGATAAAGTTATGATTAAAGTATTATCATGATTTATGTATTACATTCTTACACTTATGAGATTATATTACATTTAGAAAAAACTTTCTGTTTATAAAATATCTAAATTCTGCAGTATACTGACCTTTTTATTAAGCTGTTAGAGTGTGTTTGTTAGACGTATATGCAGGCAAAGTATTTGCTGCATGCAACACATGCACCGTGCAAGTGCCACTCAAATTGTGTCAAGACACGTTCACCTTTAGAGCTTATATTTGGTCTGTGGGGTAAACCAGAGCACTCAGAGAAAACCCACATGAACACAGGGAGAACATGCAAACTCCACACAGAAATGCCATCTGGCCCAGCTAGGACTCAAATCAGCACCCTTCTTGCTTTGAGGCGACAGTGTTAACCACTGATCCACCATGCCATTTTTTGTATTTAACTTTATAGTTGCATATTAATAATATAAATATTAATACATTTATTTTATTTTATAATATGTTGTATTAAAACGCAATAAACCATGTAAAGTCGTTGGTGAATTTAGAATTTAAAATGTTGTAAATTCCCTGCAAACCATGCCTTCTGGCGGCTTAGTGCTTTATTTATTCTGTTGAATATTAATTCCAAAAGCAATATGTTAACTTTATTGAAGCATTGCGAAAGAAAATTGTTTTTTTTCTTACTCGTATATTAAAGCAAGCACACAGTGAGGATATTGAGGGTTACGGGGCTGACATTATGGTGTTGTTGACTGTGGTTTGCATCTTGTGCTGACAGCAGAGAAGATAATGATCAGTCAGGGCACAGACCAAAATGACTTCACACCGTCATTCTACTGAATCATTAAAACAAAACTCTGACTCTGCCATCTGATAGAATTTGCTTTGCAGGGAAATTGAATCTGGCCTCTGCCCATCAGAGAGAGAACAAAGATAGAGACTGCAGATGCCTACGCTATCTAATATAGTTATGCAAGCGGAGTCAGCAGACAATACAAGTTTGACAGTCACATGTGTTGATAAAGGAATAATGAGATTTACTGGTGCAGTGAACAAATGAGAAAAGAGAGAAATCAAGTACAAATTGTTGGCATCTGTGTGGAGTTTGCATGTTCTCCCTGCGTTTGCATGGGTGCTCCGCATTATAATCTTGTCACTCAACAGAAATAATGTACAGTACAGAATATAAAGTCATGGTGCCTTGGAAAATTAATTAATATAGTGTATGACTCCCATGACAATGGAGGACTGCACCCATACATCTCTGCAATGAATCGAATAACTTATTAATAAAGTCATCTGGAATGGCAAAGAAAGCGTTCTTGCAGGACTCCCAGAGTTCATCAAGATTCTTTGGATGTATCCTCATCCTTTTACGAATGTTAATGCTCGAAAATATACAATTTATTTGTGTGTGTATATTTCTATATGTCTATATATATATATATTTATATATATATATATATAGATTAATCGTATTTTTATGATGAATCATCTGCATCAACTGCATCACAATCATCACAAATACTGCATAAGACCTGTTTAAACCCACATCTATCCAAGATTCTCAAAGAAATCAGTCAAGTTTGGTGAAGGAAAGATCATGGTTTGGAGTTACATAGCCGCATACGAGAGATCTGCAGAGTGGATGGCAACATCAGCAGCCTGAGTTATCAAGACATTTGTGCTGCCCATTACATTTCAAACCACAGGAGAGGGCAAATTCTTCAGCCTATTTATACACACACACATATTATTATTTGCATATTCGTCATGTATTTACATTTTTTAAAGTTGGTGTTGTTTCAATATGATCTCAGACTCAACAATTTTGTAAAAAATCTTAATTAATATTATTTTATATTACATATTATTACACTTAGGCCTACATATTGTTGCAATGTGTATGTGTATGTGGTTTTTGTTTTTTGCTGTTTCAATAGAAAAATTGATAATGAAAGCAGGCCTATTAAAAATCAAACTGGCAAATATGTGTGGAAAACACATCTACTAATTGATCAATTATGGAACTACGTAACATTGTGGAAATAGAAACTGTAAATGCGAATTAAATTGTTATTGTAGATGCTTTTTATATGTTATCTATACAGTTACTGTAATTATTTGTATATAGGCCTATGTTTGGTTGTTTCACTATGAACAAAAATGTTGTACAAAAAACCCTATATCTAACTGTTTATTCTTTTATTTTTCGTTGTAGAAAATCACGGGGAAAAACATAGAACCCGGAAAATACAGACTTTGTTTAAGCGTCAAGATAACTGTTTTTCAGGGCGGGAGCTGATGATTTTTCTCCAGTCGGTGTGTGTCAGCGCTGGGCGGAGCCTGTGACAGCCGCCGCCGCTATAAGCCTGATTTATACTTCTGCGTCAGGTGACCGGCGTAACCCACGGCGCAGGCAACGCGCGTGGCTGTGCATTTATACTTCTGCGCGCTGTCTCTGTCGGTCTGCATTAACACTTCCGAAACGCTAGTTGGCAGTGAGGTGTTAATGTTCCTCTGTGTCGAGTTTCTTCGCTACTTTTTTGCATTTCCTGAACACTTCCGGGATGTACAAGTGGCTCAAACTCGCTCATTTTGAGGCAGGAACCGGCGGACGTGCAACAACTTTAACTATGAGGTAAACACAAAACAAAACTTTCCATCCGGAGCTCCTTCACGGGACTCCACACTTGTAAACAATCGCTCGCGCGGCGTCGCGCCATTCGCGCGCCTCTCGGTCCCGCCCAGACTCGTCAGCGCTACCAAGCCGACCAATCACAGAGCTTACGTTACGCGTCGTTGCGACGTGTAGTTACATTTTTTGAGAGGTGCACGTCAGTGACGGCGATGGCCACGGCGAAGGGCTATGCGTCAGCGCCGTAGCATACGCCGGTGTTTGACGCAGAAGTATAAATCAGGCTATAGTCTGCTGGAGTGGATGTGTATACCGTCGCTCGCGCGCACTGACGCGCTGTTTTCTCTTGCAGATCTGTGATTGCGCGCACAGACGCGTGTTTTGCGCGCTCGCGAGCGGACAGCAGAATAGCGCTGGAATGATATCTATGGGCGGTGGACGAGGAAAATGACCTTTTGTGATAACGACGAGGACTTGAGGTTTTCGTGCTCAACGCTAGAGTCAACACACTATTTATGTTGATTTAGGAAGTCTTGGTCGCTCGCGCAGCTTGGACTTTTCTTTCCAGAAATGGACCGCGTCAAGAGTTCAATGCAGCAAGTCCCAAACCCGATCCCCAAAGTGCTCAGCCGTCGCGCTGGCGGTGCCAACAGTTTGGAAGTTGAAAAGGAAAACTTCGAGCGCAATCAGGTGAGGAACAGTAAACACAACCGGACAAGTTTTTTCATGTAGTCAGTGCATCGCCAGCGAGCTGTTTATATGGCAAGCCAAATTAACATATATTCATTTAAAATAACCACTATCAGTTTTAGCTTTAGCAAGTAGTAAAGCATCCATTCTGACAGCTTTTAGATACTACCATGTGTTCCTTCTCTGCATCCGTTACCGTCTTGGTTTGAACTGGTCAGAGCTTTATTCTTCAATTAAAATATTATTATTGTTAGTGTTTTTTTTTGTTCTTTTTGTTTTTACTAATAAACTAAAATAAAGCTATTGTAATGTTATTTTATTGCTAGCAGTTCAAGTAATGCTAAGTAATGAATTGTCTTCCAGAAACTGCTAGTCGAAAGAGAATTAATTATTAATTAAAATGTTTTTATTTGTTTATTTTACATGTGCTATTTATTATTATTATATATATATATATATATATATATATATATATATATATATATATATATATATATATATATAACTATTAACTATACAGGTAGTGTAGTCAATGCTAACTGGATTGAACACACTGTCAAAACAGTAAAAACAAAAATAATTTAAGAAACATGAGAAGTGTTTCATTTCATTCAATGCATTTGCAGTTACTTTGTAGTTGCTTGTGCAATTTCTCAGTGAAAATAGTTATTAAGTTAAAGAACCTTTTACACTACGCCATTTTCAGCTGAAAATTGATAACCTTAAGTTTTTTTTGGTTCATTAACACGACAGCTGTGATTTGTGGGCCTGAGAATAAAAAAATGTATTAAAAAGAACGTCATCAACTACAAAAACATGATTTGTGGAAAAATGGTGATAACACACATATGCATATTGTTCACTCTAAAATCATGTGTGATTAATTGACAATAGAGTTTTCAGTAACCTGGATGAACCACTTCCGGTGAACTGTATGCAGATATAAAATCAGCATATTTAAGGTCTATTTTCTTTAAAAATCAACGATTTTCACTGCCTGATTGATATACGATATAAAGTGGGTGTCCAAATTTACAAGACGCACTGCATTAAATGATGTTTTCCCCTGTAATGTCTTTAAAATATGAAAATACATTCCACATTATTACTTTTTCAATGAAGCTAAACTTGACAGTAGTATATTTAACTGATTAGATTTTAATTGCATTACAACATTAATGCTGTAAAAGGAACCGTATAAAAATTTTAAAAAAGACACAATAACTGCTCACCGAAAGTTTATCGATGTGGGAAGAAACACTAGCTGTGCATATACCCTATAAAAACAACAATGTCTGAAAACAGGGCCATAAAAGTGCAGGTGCATGGGTGTCTTTAGAAAGTGACATCACCACCTACTGGCCTGGAGTATGTTTCACAGTTCAGTGTGAACAGGGATCCTTTTGACAGCATTGTTGTCTAATCATGAAGCTTTGCAAACACATGCATGAATTGCTTTCAAATAAATACTACTGGAAATAGAAAAGCCTCTAAATTTTCACTGTTGAATTACTATTAATCAAAAGCAAGTATTGTAATATAAAAGGACGTATTAAAGAAATACATGTTAAACAGCTTGCCATATCTGACAGCAATAAGACATGGCTGTGAGCTAAAACAAAGTGCATGATGATACAAATCAAACGGTCAGAAATTGCAATATTTTGTATTTAACCCATCATTAAAATCAATCTAGCCTTCATTATCATTCTGTCTGATGTGACATGCTGTTGTATAGTGTATTATAGGGCTTACTAGTTAGCGTGTGGTTTGTCCAAACCATAAAATGAATGTTTATTTGCAATATACAAGCGTCATAATGATAACTGATGACCTTTTAAATTCAGCTAAAGTTCAGTGCACTTTTGATCACGTCGCACCTTCAATTTTATCAGTGTCATTGATTAAGAACGAGAACAAAGTTCTTCCTGCTGCTCTCTCTTTATTATAGGTTAATATTCGCTCCGTAATGCCTTACGTTATGGAATTTCTATGCATTATAAGAGTGCAACTGACTCCTTAATATAGGAACATCCTCTGTGACAGCGTCTTGTGTTTCCAAGCTGATGCCCATGAATCGAGCAAGCCTAAAAGCTTTTAGTGACTCAGAGATGCAGTGGGCAGAGCCCTGATGGTCATGCATTCTGGTCCGTGCCATCAGCCTATAATGTATCTCCGTGCATCTTCAGTCTTTTAGATCTTGTTGACCGTAATGCACAGCCATTGAATTATGCAGTCAGGTTCTGGGTGCTGGAACCTGAAAGTGTGTTGTGAAGTATAAAGAAATGCGTTCTCATTGTTTGCGCACTCTTCTTCTCTCCTCTACGGGGGTCTCACCCCCCCCCCCCCCCCCCCCCCCCTCTCCCATCCAGACACAGGCATCAGGAAAAGTAGGTCAGATGAATGAAGCTGCCGCCGACTGCCCTACTGCTGGGTTTGGGAGTGTTTGAAAACAGCACGACCTCCTTCTTGCCCACATTTCTTCAGACGTTTTTTTTTTTTTTTTTACAGCGAGCAAATGCGTGCAATCTGCAGTGTCATGTTCGGCTCGATCTGCACAATTCAGTCCTGTTGTTTACAAGTAGGACAGTGACATGGATTAGCGAGGCTCGTGTGGCGCATGCGCTCTTGAACTCCTTTAGGACCCATCACTGGGTCAGACTCAGAAATCTGAGAGGGTTTAGTTGCACATTTCCTGTTTTTAGAATTGATTTCATGTCATTTAGCCAAAAGAGGCTTTACCCATAACATCTGAAAGAACCAAAAACACCATTCAGACTGCACACACTGATCAGGTCGCAGAAGGAAATGCTATTGTGAGCGGTCCTTATCAGTTAGTTTGCCTGAAGGAAGTCTGATCCCATAATATCCGTCGCTTTTCTGCCCCTGGAAGGCTATGTTTAGATTAATGGGCCTTCTGTGGTGTGAGTTCAGGCTGTTTTAAATGGGAGGATGTTCGTGTGGTGCTCTATAATGACATGAGCATGGTTTGCTTTGTGGCTGGGTGTTAGAAGACTAGCGTCTACTTGACTTGGGTTTTATATGGAGGAAATCTATGCAGGGAAACCTTTGTTGTGGTCAGAGTCTCGCTGAGGAACATCCGGCCAGCCTCGAATTCCACGCGGTTGAAATAACAAGTTAAGAGAGCGTTTGTCATAAAATAAGGCGTAGTGGTAAACATCCTGCAGAACGTTTGGAACCAGGCAAAGTTCAAGATTAAGTCCGGATGAAATTACAGTTTGACTTTTGTTCTCTGGTTGATGTTTTTCAAAGTAAAGTTAATAGTCAGAGTCTGATTTCCTCCGAAATGACATTGTGATGTCACTTACTCTACGCATGCATGCTATTGGATGTTGTTAACCTACAGCCAGAGGGTTGTTTATCTGTTGTTCTAGCTAACTTGAATTGATTTCCTCCAAAGCAACATTGCATTTTTGGTGATCTCACTATAGGCCATGCATGCTATTAGATAGGGCTGCCTGATAAACGATATTATATCGAATCGTGATAACATTTATGTCAATAACAATAAGCTCTGGACTTTTATTTACTTATATTGAGTAATGAGTAAGAGCCAATCACACAGCAAAATCGTGCAACAATAGGAATCTAAAAGTGTGTTGATATGAGAGATGTATTGAATTTTTGGCCACAAACAATTTATCAGCCGAATTTATGTTATGCCATTTAATGGACCCTCTATTTTTTGTGGCTTCAGTCATTGTTGGAGTACTCTTTTAAACCTGGAAGCATTAACAAATTGTATCGAAATGTATCTCGTTAATGTTCAATATGGAAAGTAATTAATCCAGATTTCATTTTTGTCTTATTGCCCAGCGCTAATATTGGATATTGTTCATTTATAGGCAAAGAGCTGTTAATGTGCTGTGCATTCAGGTCTGAATTTCTGAAACCCACATTTTTTTGTACAAATAAATAACTTTCTTTATATATATATATATATATATATATATATATATATATATATATATATATATATATATATATATATATATATATATATATATATATATATATATATATATATATATACAGTTGAAGTCAGAATTATTAGCCCCCCTGAATTAATATCATCCCTGTTTTTTTTTTTCCCCTAATTTCTGTTTAATGGAGGGAAGATTGTTTTAGCACATTTCTAATCATATTAGTTAAAAACCTATTTCTAATAACTGATTTATTTTATCTTTGCTATGATGACAGTAAATAATATTTTACTTGATATTTTTCAGGACACATTTATACAGCTTAAAGTGACATTTAAAGGCTTAACTAGGTTAATAAGGTGAACTAGGCAGGTTAGGGTAATTAGGCAAGTTATTGTATAACAATGGTTTATTCTGTAGATTGTTGAAAAAAAATAGCTTAAAGGGGCTAATAATTTTGCCCCAAAAATGTTTTTTTTTTTTTTAATTAAAAACTGCTTTTATTCTAGCCGAAATAAAAAATATAAGACTTTCTCCTGAAGAAAAAATATTATCAGACATACTGTGAAAATTTCCTTGCTCTGTTAAAAACCATTTGGGAAATATTTAAAAAAGAAGAAAAAAATGCAGTAATAACTCAAAACATAAATTCACTCAAAAAGTAACTTTATTGAATCTTTTGTTTATATTTTCCAGAAAAACTGACCACAGAATTTTGAGATCAGAAAAATATTTATCTGTAAACAAATGTTATACTTTAAATGAGGGAAATAAAAATGCGTCATAGATGTGACAAAAGAAGTCTGCAGGTTTACAGTATACAACATACTTTGTAGAAATTCTGTGAATTAAACTGCACAACCCAAAAGAAACAATGCTAATCAAAAGGATAAGAGTTGGCTCTCTATATAACAAAAAATATTGGTTTTATTTAATTTCATATTTTCATATTTATGAGGAAAAAGTGTCATTATGGATGTGACATCTCTTAGTTATGGATGTGAGAGATGTAATATTGCCACTTGTGGGACTTTGGTAAATCAAATAGAATAGTTA